TTCTTCCTCAATTCTTTCCTCTCTTACAATTGCTTCTAGCTCTTGCGGTGGCTCCTCTTCTTTTTGTACATCCGCTTTATCTGGAAGCATGGCCTCTTCGGATGGCTCTTTTTCAGTTGTCCTGGCCTCCTCATGAAGACCATAGACAAAAGATGACTGTACAATTGTTTGATGGGCACTGATATGAGTTTCTGTATGAACCTCCATTTTCTCTTCCACATCTTCCAGTTCTCGATCTGGCTCCTTATGGTATTCCTCTACTTCAGTTCCCTCTTTTTCTTGTATTTCCTGATCGGAAGGTATTTCTGGGACAACTTCCTGTTCAGGAGCGGCTTCTTCGGCTATTTCTTCTTTCACAACTATCTCTTCTTGTGGCTCTTGTTCTTGCTCTTCTGGTGCAGTTTCCTCTTCTTTCAACATAACTTCTGGAGCAACTTCTTCCCCAATCATCTCCTCTGCTACTACAACTTCATCAGGTTGTTGCTCAGGCTCCTGGAAAGTGTCCTTTGGTGCAACTGGAACAACTTCTTCCACAGCAGCTTCTTTAACTTCTTCCTCTGCAGCTGCAACCTCTTCAGGTTCTTCCTCAGGCTCCTGGGGTGCGGTTTTCTTGTATTCCCAAACATCTTCTGGCACAGCTTCTACTTCTGGTGCAGATTTTTCCTCTATTTTTTCCTTTTCCATGATAACTTCCTCTTGAACTGGCTCTGGCTCCTCATAAGTTATCTCCTGGACAATTTCCTCTTCTCTCTTTACTTCCGCTCCTTGAAGACATATTTCAGTTGCCTTTTCCTCAATTCCTTCCTCTGCTTCAACTGCTGGTTCCAATTCTGTAAGAACTTCCTCTTCGTTTTTTATATCTTCTTTTACTGGAAGTGCTGCTGCTCCAGGTGCCTCTTCATCACTTGTTCTTGCCTCTTCATGAAAATAGGTGACAGTAGACTTGACGATGGTTTGCTGGACACTGATGTGAGTTTCTGTATGGACTTGCATCTTATCCTCCTCTGGAATGTGTTGAGCAACATCTACAGGAACCACAGCTTCTGCATGTTTCTCTTCCATGCTCACTTCTTGTGGTTCTTGATCGATCTCCTCTGGTTCTGTTACCTTTCTCTCAGAGAGAACTTCTGGGACAATCTCTTCTTCAGGGGCAACCTCTTCCTTAAGTGCTTCCTCTTCCACAACTCCCTCTTCTTTGAGTTCTTTCTCAGGTTCCTCATATATTTCCTCTGGTGCAGCTTCCTCTTCCTCAAGAGCAACATCAGGGGCAACTTCTCCAGGTCCAGTCTCTTCCTCAAATCCTTGCTCTCCCACAACTTCCTCTTCTCGGCGCTGTTCCTCAGGCTCCCCAAAGGCTGCCTCTGGTGCAATTTCCTCTTCAGAGACAGCTTTTCGGGAAACTTCTTCAAGTGCAGCCATTTCCTCAATTCTTTCCTCTTCCATGACTATCTCTTTTAGAGGTTCTTGGTCTAGTTCCGTGTATGTTTCCTCTGGTGTAATTTCCTCTGCTGGTAGAACTTGTGGGGCAACCTCTTCTTCTGGTGCAGCCTCTTCCTCAATACCTTCCTCTTCCAACACTGGTTCTTCCTGAAGCTCTTGCTCCTCTTCAACTGTTGTGTCATCCTTTTCTGTTTCCTCTTCTTCCAGTGGCACCTCTGGGGTGACTTCTACTACTGCAGCTTCAACTTTATCTTCCTCCACTTCCACATCTGCTTGTGGCTCAGGACTCCGATCTTCTTGGATTTCTTCAGGCTCCTCCTCTGCTGTGGAGGTAATGTGAATGACTTCTCTGTGAACAACTGTCTCGGTTTTGTGTATAGTTGTCTGCACCAGGACATCAGCTTCTGTCTGTGGTGGTCCTTCCGTTTCTGCCACTCGTTTTGCAGGAATGTCATCCGGAATTTCTTCAATGCGCACATCTTCTTCTGGTTTGACTTCAGGCTCTTTGGTAACATCCGGTTGCTTTACTCTTTCCTCCTTGACGTCTCGGAGTTCTTCTGGAATTTCTTCAACAATGTCCTCAGAGGGTTCTTCGGGTGGTTTCTCAGCTTCTTCCTCTACAACTACCACCTTTTTCTCTGCTTCTTCCAGTGCCACCTTCTCCGCAACAAGAGCCTCTTCTTGGACATTCCCTTCTTTTTCTTCAGGGGAAACTTCAACAGGCTCCACAGGAGCATCCTTACTTTGAAAAACCACAGAAGTAGTCACCTCTGCCACATCGGGCACAGAAATCCCTCCGTCTGTTGTTCTCATCGTTTTGGTTACCTTGGTTGTGGTTATTCTTTCCTCTCGGAATACAGTGGTGCCATAGACAGCCACTTCCGGCTCACTTGACAGAGCTGGTTCCACTGATGGTTCCTATGAGGAAAACCTTTGTGTCAGGACCGCTGCATAACATCCATGACCATGTCACACTTTTACTGAGGACAATACTTGTCAGGGTGAAATGCAATACTTGTGAGGGTGAAATACTGTCATGTCAAAATGTAATACCATGTAGTTATTTCTTTGCAAACAACCAAATGTAAATGTTTATCTCCTATCAAACGTACATAATATGAACAGGCCATTTAAAACTCAAACTTGAAATGCCCTTGAACATTTCAAAATACTTGAATTCCACATGTAAATATATCACATTATTGGCAAAATCAACTTTCACAGATTTCCTCCCAGCATTAAAATAAAGGAACAATCTGATCTAAGTGGTTACCCCGAACAAAAATTTAAATGGAATAGAAAAAAAAAACCATAACCACCACCTACTACAGTGCCATTCAAGGATCATGCCAAAGACTGGACTTGCAACCACCAGTGCTGGCGACCCAAAAAATTAATCCATTTTTAGTTTCAGTTCCAGCAGCTGAGACACCTCACCTATCTCCCCCCCCAACATACCTCTCGTTCTTGGGGGGCTTCAGGCACACTCTCTCCTCCACGTCTGGTTTTGGCCTCTACCTGTTCAACCAATTTCTCCTGCGGTTAATCACACGTGAGTCACCAGCAATCAAGATACAACACACACACCAGACTATAACTAAGACAGTGCAAATGTGAAATGGTGCACTCTAATTCTATAAGCAATACATGCGCATGTCGGATTTTGAAGCCATTCGTCTGTACACCAAACTGACATTTCATTCACTTTTCGAATGTTGAACAGAATTTAAACTTTTGACGAAATCTTTCATTTTTTAGAAGTTCAACCCTCTTGTGCATACATACATTCTGAACAAACACGTGATGTGTCTCTGCACTGTAACAGACATGGATTGAATTCCTCAGTTCCTGTGACAGTGCAAAGAGTCAGAGGGTGTATCCAAACATCCTCATTGTTATAAGTACGTGCCTTTCAGAACTCAGGAAGCTATGCAAGCAATCACATCCATCATGACTACCAGCTGCAGAAGTCTACTGCACAATCTAGGTTCTACGATGATTTTCATGCATGTTAATAAAGCAAGATGAGAAGCCATTGGGTGAGAAGGCAAATAAAAAAGGCACAAGCCATGCATGAGAGGGAACCATACAAGCCATCTTGTGAAAGTCATGCATTCCGGGGGAAGTGAACAAGTCCTGTGGAGGACACTTAGGGACAGGGAAGTCAACTTGTGTATGAACTTGTGATATTACTTAGTATGAACTGAATGCTTTAAAAATGCTGTATTTTTAATATGTTAGTTTAAAAAATTCAGCCTATTGTTTTAAACAACAGTGATTATGCTACACTTTAAAATCAATCAGTTTATTCAACATTCAGAGTTTGATTTCAACATGGCCGAACACTTGTGTTAGCAGGAAAGATATTAGACAGAAATTACACCTACTTCGGTATGTTAGATACATTATTAAAACTAGCTCGAGAGATCTTTGACAAGAACTGCAAGTTACAGTACCAATGACTAGCTGACAGGCTAGTAGCTTTATAATTCTAAACAAAAACAGAGACAGACAAATGTGAACAATATAAACAGACATGTAGACAAAAAACTGACTTGAATTGACAAATAAATGAAATTTTTTAAAAAAAGTATAACAAATAATCACCAATCATCCATCCTTTAAGGCCCTAAATAAAAATAGTTAGAGAGGGACCATTTGGAGGGTTACTGAATTGGTGTTTCAGGTAGTTTGGGAGAATACAAGAGAAAAAAATGTAACCTACCTAGAAAACTCCAGTAAAGGATAATTTAATTCATTTAATTCAATGTGAAAAATGCACAGGATTGAATAATGTTTGGCATTAATATGTTGCATTCAGAAAATATTCATATCAATGCATTCATTCTTCAGACGTTTGATGGATTCTGACTAGTATTTTATTATTCTCAAATCAAGGAATTAACTTTGAGGAATAAGTCATGCATGTTATAAATTTTTGGGGTGAGTTATTCATCAACAGTGAAAGTAATAGGTCAGAATGATGTGAAGGTGTAATGGAACAATCCAAATGCTCAGTATTATGGTGGATTTTGCATTCCAAGCAAGCACATTATAGGGAGCTCTGGTTAATTTTGGGTTTAACATTGTGATGCAAGGTCAGGCACGAAGGTCAATGCTTCAAACTGATTTCACCTGCCGAATAAACGCTTACAACTGACTTTCACTTCAGTATATTGCGAAAGAACACATGTCAAATCCAAAAACTATTGTGACTAACACTTCTTGTCCATTTTCTTTGCAGAAGTGGCAAAGCAACAGGAAAGCACAATTTCACTTTGTTTTGGGATTTTATCAGCAACTTCCAGCAACTTTTTTTTTGGCCAGTCTGCAAACAAGCACACAGCTCAAAGCAATCTATGATTCTAAGTCGCTACTCTAAAAAGATGTCAGGAACTCCTTTGCCAGTTGTAAATATACCACAAATGAAAAATGAAAATAATCAACGCAGATTAAAACTGCAAACAGCAGGTTGTTAAAAATTTGCAAATGTCATCTTTCGATTTAAACTTGTCAAAATGTGGCTGTGCGTACCTTGGGCTTCTGCTCGGGCTGCTGTAATTCCTCTTTTACATCCTAAGGAGAAAAACGGGGGAAAAAAATTCAGCTACTTTCAACCTGCAATAAAATCTGCCTAAAAATCTAACATCCCGTCCTGTGCTAATTTGAGGGCTTCTAGGATTAGACAGCTGAACCACCACTGCATCGGGTAAGACGTCCCAAACCTGAAGTCTGGAGAGTGCACCACTGGCTTTCTGCGTATTGTTGAATGTTGGGAGGTTAAGAAGAAAGCCCTGTAACAATGTGTATTCTCACCAAACTGAAGTGCACCCCCAATCGGTGAAGAAAGACGTTAAGTTACGACAGGTTCTTGCACGCATCCTGCGTGTATGCAAAGACCATACATGCCGGAATAAATTAGTTACGCGTACTCAGCATGCCCCATGTCAAATGCGCATATACTTTCGCACCTCATGGCGCACCTATGCAGTGAGTACGAACAAAAACCAGACTCTTTTGTTCCACTTGGAGCGGATACCGCTAAGGCTACCCTTGCACTTCAACAGGAAAAGAACGTGCTCTGGGCGTGATACCAGTAAAGAAACAGGTTCCTACATCCAGTGCTCATAGTATAGTGCATGCACTCTTTGTGGAAGAAATCATGTAGCTCTCACTGTCACTTTAAAGTAATGGAGAGTACAAGTGGCAAAGACACAAACAAGCAATTTCAGTAGGAAATTCCATGCTCAAAATCGGACATTACATCAAATGGACCTTTTTTTCTCCTTTTGTTTGTTTTGTTTTCTAAAAGAAAGTTCAAAATTCCGACTTCATAATCAGATTAAACATCAGGGTGCATTTAAACAAGTGCATAAAGTTATCTAGCCAAATTCTAACTGTTTAATAACTGGTACCACACCTACTTTAACATCAGGACTATGTCAGAAAATTTAGTTGCAAAAACTTACAATGCTCCCAAATATGTTAACCACTTCCTGCCTGGCATTTCAGATCCGGACACGTATGCTTATATGCATGGCCGGGGTCTATTAACTCGGACAAAGGGAACAGGGCCTTGTAACAAAAGACCATCCTCCAAACAAAAGACCAGGCTGCTGGGCATTACCAACATTTTTTCACTCTCAAAAGTGGAGATAATCCTGCCTTGTTTTGAAACAGGATACCACAGTTAGGGGCATTTAGAGCGAGCGGATTACCGCCAGGGACAAAAGCACTCCACCACCGCAGTGATGAGCCACACAGCACCGCTGCATGATAATCTGGCCCCTATTGAAGAGAGGTCAGCAGCGCACTGAGCCAGATTCGTGAACACAAGAATATTACGTTAACACCACAAAATCTGGGCTCTTTTTACAAGGCGGCAGGCCTGGTTGAAATACTCCAACGTCAATAGATTTTGTATGTCAGGCTAGAGTGTACACCAGACTGTCCTTCACGTGTTTGTAAGTGTCCAGTAAATGAAGATAGGAATTTTTAAAGAATTTTGAAAAACAGAAAAAACTGATAACTATTCCGGACCAGCATCATCAACATTGACAACTGCCCCCGGCAGCAAGTGGTTAACAAAGCAAATTGCATTCTATTGCAATCTTTATCAGAAGCAGAGCAAATGAGTTGCAGTCGGCAGCCTGCACTGAGCCAGTTCTTTCACAGAGGCTTAAACTTCATGTTTTTCATCTGCCAAGCAACAGAAAGCCTCCTCACAATGTCAACTGTATGGAGTTTCTTCTCCTTTTGCATCATTAATTTTCAAAATGTTGTTAACTCTGACAGTGACAACACTAACACGGTTATTGAATGGCAATAGAAGTCCATGCAGTAAAGAAAGCTAACAGCCGTGCATGAGGATGTTTGGCCATCAATGCACAGCAAAATGAAAATTTTTCAATACAAATAACCAGTATACATACATATGTATATTGTTTCACGAGCCAAGATGACAAATGACATCATTCAGAAACTTGCTGTGAGAAGGCACGTTATGTCATATTGTGAAATGATGTGCCAGGATTGGTCAATAAGCAAAATACATTATTAATGTTTACATGAATGAGTTTTAACATGCAAGATACCAACAAATTCATGCATGCTGTCCATAGACGTCGTGATATCAGACTGAAATAAATTTCATTAAATAAAAGCGACGTGCTCTTACGTGAAGTAACTGTGCTGCTAAAGACTGCAGGAAGAATGCAGATGAACAGAACAAAAAGAGTACGGGATTAACTGGAAACTACAGATGGTAGAGATGGATATTTTCGACTTGAGACCCCCCAAAAATCACAAAACAAAGAATAAATCTGCAAATTTCCAAAAAGTGAACCTTAATGCTGGATATCTAACAGCTCCAAGCATAGCTTGGTCCTGATCAGGGGTATGTGAAAATATCACATCTCTATCGCAGTGACCACGCCAGTATTGTTCAAACTTCAAAGCACAGAATCAAGGACACATTCTAGGTCAGGGCTGCTGTGCAGTATTCCGATGTGCACACTGGAGCATGAGCTCTTCTTAACACCCTCTAATTGTTGAATGAAAAAGCGCCCTCTGGCGTTCACAGGCAGAGCACGTAAGACGGTCACGTGGACCAGGCCGGTTTGACAGTGGCACATCACAAATACTGGCAGCTTGTTTGTACAGAAACAGAGGCAGATTCCTGTATTGGCTGGCACACTCTTGTCCTCCCTGTTTGCGTCACTTTTTCACGTAAGGAAGCAAATGAATAAAAGCAACAGAAATGCGCAGGAAGGAAAAGCAGAGAAATAAAAGTGACCATCACCAAATACAAAGATGGGTCCAACTAACAGTTTCTATTCACAATTCTGAGGGAGCATGCTGGTCAATGTAGGGAAGACCTTTGCCCGGTCTTTACAAAGTGTTAGTGCTGAGTTGGTGGCGAGCATGAAGTTTAATCAGTCAGTTTCCTGCTATTCATCCTCATGATTCTCTACTAACCAAAGGAATTGAAAAAAAAGCAGAAACAAATCCTGGCATGTATCCGCATCCGAATCGTCTGTCTGCGGCTAGCTCTCTGTCTTCACCAACTGCAATTATGCGGAAATGTGCTGACAACAGATGTAGCCGTAGCCAAAGTCTGTTTTGGATGTGGCATATGTTTCTTACATTCAGTTGTGATTCAATCTATTTGAAGGTCAAGTATCACTGCCGGACACTGACCTGCCTGTTCCCTCAGATTTGCAAACTACTAAATACAACCAAAAAGCGACCAAAAATTTGCAAATAAAGCACCATTTAAATGAAACAGGCCAATGATAATGGAAGGATGAGCTGCTGAAAAACCTGACAAAATGCCAGCTTTGCCCCTACCTCTGCGTAACTTTCTAGGGGTGTACTGGGCTGTCGCCTAGGTTGTGTGGCAGACTCAGCGATAGTGACCTCAGACGCAGGGCCGTGGGGGAAGTCAGATTCTGAGCGGTCTGTCTCGGGGCTTGACTCCAGGCCGGTGCGCACCGTGACCTGGTGGAACGACGTGGTGTAGGTGGAGATGACCCCAACCTCCTGCCCCGGAGGGGAGATGGGGCTTTCGTCGAACGCCTGGGCACCATGGTTGATGCTGTACTTGGTGTCGGTCACATCGGGCCCACAGATCCGGGCTGAGTCGTCAAGGGGCTCGGGCTCACAGATCAGGTCCGGGTTGATGCCCTGGACGGTGGACTCGGATGTGGTGGAGATTGGGGGCTCCTCAACAGAATCTGGCTCCATCTCATAGTGAGGGTTGATGCCTTCCACCTCTGGCACTTTGTCGGTGGTGATAATCTCTTCTGAGACAGAGTCTGGACCCGCTTCATAATGGGGATTGATGCCTTCCTCCTCGGCTGTCTTCGTGACTTCTACAATCTCATCTGGCTGCGACGTCACCACCATGTACTCATCGATGTCCGGGTCAGATTTGCGATCGGGAACCTCGTCAACCTCAATCCGCACAGGGGCATGCTTCTCAGTGTACGAGTATTTCTCTGTCACAGTTGTGGTGGTGGAGATCTTAGTCTGGACCTCATCGGGGCCTGTGTAAACCTCCGTCTCGGCCGAGGATTCGGACTCCGACTCGACTGGGCCGTCTTGGTGCCCGTCGGCCACTGCCTGGGTTCGTACTATGTGAGTCTGCTCAACGACAACCGTTCGGGTAGGGAATGTTTGTGTTGCGTCTCCAGGCAAGGCCTAGGTGGAGGGGAGTGGCGTAAATTGGAACAACTTAAAATTAGAAAGCGAGTATTTCCACACTGAATATTCTCCCTTTTTCAGGCCAACTAGAAATGTCAACACTGAATAGATTACCAAAAAACCTCACGGGCTAGTTACTTTGCCATAGCTCAAATTAAATGAAGGCTTCAACTCTGAGTCTATGTCTCTAGATCTAAGATAGGTTAGTACCATACAAGGCAGAGTTAGTTGCGCTCATTCGAGTTACAGGCAACGGTATAGGCAACATATTACTGCCAATCTCTTAACATCTCAGGGTTCAAAGCAAAACTTCCAAGGACACAGGGTATCCATTCCGCTGATGTGTACAGAGATAACCGATTTATGACCAAAGATTACAGGAATCAGAAAGGAGATGCTTTCCGCAGAGTCCAGGGGTCATTACAAGCATGCACTCATGACAAGTCTGTTTTTTTAAACAGCATATATGCAATGACAGCCTGCCTCATGTCGCTTGATTTTTTTTAATGACAAGTTAAGCATTTGGCATGCTATGATGCATCCAAAAAATCAGTTCTTTCAAAAAACAAATCACTCAAATGAACAGCTTGCAAAGTCTGAAATTAAAATGCAAAGATCAAAAAGTTTAGAGATTATGTCAAAAAGGATAAAAACACAAATGAATACTGAAAAGAATATTCCCAGAAATCTGAGGGAATGGACAGAATTACCTTGGTTTCTGTTGGAGTCTGTCCGTCTTCCTGTTTAAAAATAATGGAGGGCAATAACATGACACTTTGCACAATAACCAAATTCAACCCCAGCGAAATACCCGTGGGAAGTTAATGCTAAGTAATACAGTCCTAGATGTACATGTACATCCCCTTGAAAATAAAATAAAATAAATGTAAAAAAAAAAATAAAAATAACCCTCTGCGTATATTTGTAAAAAAAGGCCATGCAAATTCAGTATCGAGTTACAATGTTCACACGCGGGAATCAGAAGTAGCCAGACAAGGGGTAGCTCTGAAGGAACAATTTGAATACTAAAGGCAAATTCATATGTCGGTCAAATTAAGCAGGGTCAACTTACGATGGATTAGCTTGAACGAGATAAACCACAGCAGTTACGTCACCTTGACGATAACTTATAATGGTAACTGCACTGTTTTGTTTGCTGTTATTTCATGTTGTAATGGTTTGAATTCCGATGCATTTTCGCCAGTTGTACATTAAGCGCTGCTCTTTAGGCTGAATGGTCTGGTTTACGGCTGCAACCAGTTCAAGGTTTAGGGCAAACTTGTGCACCATTCTATGAAGCCTCACTGTGAGTAGAGCTACATGTAACTTGACTATTAGGGTAAAGAGTGGTGTCAAGGAGGGTCAATTGAGACAAGAAAATTTTGTAAGGTCATGATCAATTCCTGCCTGAGATTCTAGCTTACTTCTTGACTTTCCTCGAGTACGTCCACCGTCGGCTCAAACTGCATCTCCCGTCTCTCCTCCTCGTGCTTCTCCAAAATCTCCTCCTTCATCTCCTGATCAAATAAAAGCCACGCCCCCAAAATGGAGAGAGAATGAAGCCCCCATCAGTGACTGCACACTAGACATCAAGGGGATGCACAGGGTGTCATCCAAACTCAAGCTCTCAAGCAAGTCTAACTTGGACTCAGTGGGATCAAGGAAATATCCTTACTTTCCTTCAACAGCTACTTCTCAGATTTACCAGCATCTGTAGGTTTTCTACAATATTTCTTCAATCTACAAATCTATTAAAATGAGCACAACGTAAGAGCTGATGACAGGCCCACTCAAAGGAACTGTGGCAGTATTGAGGGCCAAAAATAATTGACTCAAAACTCACCTCATACAGCTCTGCTGCTCCGGCATCCTGAAACAAAAGAAAGGCGGAATTAATCACAAGCCTTCTCCGATGCACTTTAAGGGACACTTAACCCCAAAGCCTACTTTTTGACTCATAAGTCTGAACACTTTGGTGCATAGCACTACCAATTCCAAGAGAAAAAGTTAGTTACTAGACCCCATTATTGGAAGTGATATAATTTATGCCTACAAAATAAATTTCAAAAGATATTCAGTGAGGTAAAGCATCCTAAAAATAAGTTCCTGAATGAGGTAGTTATAATCCTGCAGGCTACAATATCTTAATGACATTTTGTACACCACTTGGCTTACTATTACACACATGTACATGTATGCATGCAGAAAAATCTCGGCGAAATTCTATGTTCATAATGAGGAAGTACTTTCACACATGATTAAGCCGGGGGGGAAGAGGTTATTTTCTAAGCTTGCAAATTGTGTTGAAATTTGCACTTCAAAAATTCATAGTTTTAGCATTCCCGCATTTGCACACTGTGATCTTGCTTTGAGGCTGTTGGCATGGCGTATTTAAAAATATGCTTCTTTTGTTTTTTACAACCTGCAAGCCGAGGTGACCATGCACATTCGAGTTTATTTTGGTTATGGTGTGCATTCAATCGACTACTGCACTTTTGTGCTATCGTTAGCAATGCAGCTCCATCACTTGGCTTTGCTGCTGCTCAACCACTGCAGCAAAAGCCTGTAATCTAAACCTTTATTTAAGTCCAGCCCTGAGATAATTATGAATCTAAAACTGATATTTTCATCTTTGTCAAATTATATAAAAGTATGCCTACTGATGTGAAACAATGTGATAGAGTTTTATGTATGGATAAGTATGTATAACCAAGGGAATTCCTTTAAGGTTGTTCAAGTCGTTAAGAGCCTATGATTCAAAATTAAGAGAAAATATGTAACGCATACAAAACTGACAGGAGTTTGACAAGTTTGGGCACTGACAGAGACACAAAAAAGAACGTGAAATGACTGAACGAACACATCATGTTCAAGAAAACCTAGTGTCACAAAATGGTACAAAATTGTGAACAAAATGTGCTACACTTGTAATATTTACACTAGCAAAAAGTAAACGCAAGTATTCAAGGTGTGTTACTCACCAAGCTTTGAAACAAGCATGCATGCAGGCAACACCCAGGGGTTCGGACGGATGAGACAGGGAGGGGTATCAATGCACATGTACACACACACATCGCAGCTGAATACGGCAACGGGTCATAACTACGCACTACGACAACCAAACCGGTTCAAGAAAGGGGTGGAGGGGTGGGGAGATCATTGGACGGGGAAACAGAGGGTCGGCTGCGTGTTCGTGGCGTGACGATTTCTTGAATGGCGGTGAGAAAGATGCGCAGCCAACAGGAGTGTTGCCGGACATTCGGCTCAAGAATGCAACATAAAGACATTTTGTTGGGCGTAAAACATAACAAAAAGAGGAGAGTACCTGGCCGAGATTGAAAGAATTGAATATATCGCTAAAATCACATGCACCTGTTGCCGGTACCTTGGAAGGAGAAAAGAAATAAAATCAATGTCACACACACAGACGAAACATTGTCAGATAGGGATGAAAGATGTGGAAAAGGATGGGATTTTTTTTTTGGGGGGGAACTCTTCAGCTAGAGAAGGAAATGTGCGCATCCGATTTTCATACACAAATTGTGTGTAGTGACTAGTGAGCAGGACTGCGGGCACGTTGTAGTTTCCTTCCCGCGTTCGCTAGCTGGGAAAAAAAAAGAAAGAAAGCCAGTCGACACGAAGAGCAGCAGCTGCAGATTGAAAGCAAGCGACAGCGTTCAACCTCTGCATGGAATACGATGTGACACACTGATGTTTAGGCGGATGCCCACGCAATGAACTGATTTCGCGAGGATGCTCAGATTCCAACCTGCTTTTGATTTTGAGATGCTCACCACTCAAGTCTCAAACAATCGTCAAATGAACACAGTCACTTTAAGGAGGCATACGCACACATACATGCAACACATTCACGGTTGTACAACACTACCGCAGTCCAGGCAATTTTTGGGCAACACACTGCTTCATAGCAAAAACTTTCAGAATGCCACACAGAAACAGAAATACAACCACACACCTGCCAAAGAATTTGAAAACACTGTATGACAAGCATTATTGCGGACGAATGACTTTTTAAAAGCAGAATGTTACGAGATGACTCTTACAAGATGACTGTTAACACTTGCACTGAGCTACTTACATTACAAATACAGGGGTGAAGAAATAACACAACAGCCCTACTTAAAAATATCTTTCACAATCTTTTCAATATGTTTTAGCAACTGCAAACACTGTGTATTAGAAACCTCACTCAGAGCCACAAGAATTTTCTCTAACACTCAGATGGCCTCAACAGACAAGTACATATTTGTATGAGTAACTAGTATCGTCATAATGCCAAAGACGTGGTCAGAAGACCCTGGCTGCTTCTTTGACAGAAGCGACAAATCTCCCCGCTTTTTTGCAAACAAAAGAACAACCAATGAGAGCTTAGAGAACACACAAGAGAGAAAAAACAAGAATTAGCAACTCAGGCGGACCTTTGGAACCAGCTACAGAGTTCATAAGACCAAAATCATAAATCGGGTGAGAAAGTTCAGGATGAGAATTGCGCTAGCTAGCAATACCTCTGGAATTCCAGCAGCGATAGCCTCCTCCTTCAATTCCTAGAGCAGAGGGTGTAGAAGAGGGTAAGGGGACAAGAAAATGAAGGATACGTTGAGGTGAAGTTCTAGGGGACTGGCTTGGAACTACACCGTATAGTCTACAACACAGGCTCAATGGCAACAATCTGGGTCTGGTAACCTTTTCCCTTGTGTTTAAAAACGTGCTAGCACATAGGCACGAACTTGCTCAACAGAGTCTGTCATTGTTTGGATTTCTGTAATGAGACAGAAATTTTTGATAGACTTGACAGTTTTCTCTAAGTATCAGCACACTCCTATCTCGGGCATTTATGTCACAGAAGGCGCCACCCGCTTCCCCGGGACAGGATAATGCACTTTCAAATGACTGCCTAATGTAATCTGGGAAATAAAAAACAATTTGAAAGACAAAAGCAGCATACACGGTCTTTCAGGATAAATGAATTGTACAAGAAGGCATCTCTCTGTCAATTCTTTGAGTCTTAAATCTAACAAATTAACCAGACTATCTGAGCAAGCTCTACTTAATTAACCCTCCAAACCAGCAGCCCACATCAAAACACTGCCACCAAATTGTCAATGTAACTGAGCAGCACTGAATGTTACATGAAAGGAGACTATCTAATGTGCCTACAAACAGTACAAATGCGACACAAGTGTTTCCTTAAGAAATTTTAACAGCAATAAAGCTTATAAATGAATCCAGCTACCGTGGTTACACCATCACTGGTCCTTTCCAGCAGCCCCCTGCAATGGCAATAATTAGGCTCTGTGGTGATTATTCTACAAGGCCACTGTTCCACGACAGGTGTTCCGTACAAAAACCAACACAGTGCTTTCTTTTATTGCTGATGAAGGGGACCATCGGAAATATCCTGTGACAACGTTGCTGGATTTGTCAATGCCAGGCCTTCCCGTACGAAGGAATATTCTCAGTAAGTCTGACTCAGTATCTGATAGATTTCATTCCCGAAAGAAAACGTTAACCAAAATTATGATGTATTTTGTTCAAGCCATAACTCTGCTTAGCAGATTTTTCCATGCTCTGGTCTACATGTTAAATTTTTGAACAGCCTGAATGCGGTCAGAGAAAGAAACTCATGTTCCCTAAAAAAAAAAAAGCCCCCCAAAATCACCTGCATGAACAAACTTCCGTGACTATAATAACCAACTTGACCCATGCAATTTTCGATTATATTTTTTTTCCCTTTTTTTTGTGGTGGGGAGAAAGCAAATGGGATTGCAGTCAAGCAAGAGAGGCAGGGGTGGAGCTATCTGCAAAGGGGGGGGAGGAGATAGGGTTGCGAGGTTCACACACAAGGTTCAATACCTTGATCAAACTTTCAGCCACTTCGTCCTTAGCCTGTTCCTGTGATGTAACAAAACCAGGGAAGTGTGGATTTTTCTTCAAGTTTTGGCCACTGTCTCCTTGTTTCATTTGTACTAGTACTTATAAAGTTTAATATGGAGCAGAAATCTGTAGTACTGTCCATTATAATTTCTTTCAATATCAATAAAAAGTGTCCACCATCTTTTCTTTAGTTTTCAGTTCTCACAGGAGCAGATCAAACACTTTTGAGATAGAACTTGCCGTATAAAAAAACTACTTAGTTTGACAATTTGGTTAAAAGTCTCCCGCCCTTCCCATCCTTATTGTTTTTTCAAGGCTTGAGATGCATTTGGCACTAAGCTATGTACCTTCACAGCAGTCTCAATATCGGAGGGAACCCGTCTCTGCAAACAAATGGAACAGTCCAAACATGAATATGGAAATATGTAAATTCTATCCAGAAGGATATGAAAAGGAAGACTCCATATGTCATGAGATCAAATTATCATGACAGCAAACCGGCCAAACAACTGTTTCGTGCACTCAAAATAACAATGCACATTGTCATGATGAATTAAATAAAAATAAAACGTTCCTGTTCATTTGTTGTTTGTAATTTTAGCATCTTTTGTATTCCCTTGTGGGATGCATTATTCATAAGTCCCTGTGACCAAAAGGTCGCACAAGGGGTGGTGATTGAATATAATTCAGGTATCCAACTTTCAATGCAATTAACTTTTGGCCATTTGCCTAACAAGGAAACTCTATCTTATTATCATTTCCTTCAGAGAGAGAAAGAGCCAACTTTGCTTTACACCTGGAAAATGGCTCACAAACAAATTGAAAGCAGTACAAAACTTGAAGCATGTGGCAAGAAGTATAAAACCAAAAGGGACATCATCCTGAGAGAGAAGGAAAGCAAAAGCTCAGAATATATTTAAGTTCATGATGCACGTCCTGCCAAAAAAAAAAAGGAACAGAGTGCTTCAAAGTCTACAAATGTGTGCACTGGAAGTATGCTGCTCTCAAGCAGCTTCATGTTAAACACTGTGGAAGCTGGTGTCATCGCGTGGTGGTGTTGATGCCACGGTTTCCCCATGTGTACTCCTTGAAGCTTTGGAAGCCATCCCTCCAGACAAGAAATGCTGGAGGCTACATGTATATGGTCAAAACAGCCAAGGATGCCGAGACCCAAATTGAGACTGAGACTAACATCCATTGTGTGACAGGCTTTTAATACAGCAGGGTGTGGGTATCTGACCTTGCTGTGGTTACGTAAAAACAAAGAAAAGAGTACTAATGACTCAAACATGACAGCTTGGCAAAAACTAAACACACTTGACATCCCGCATTTCACAATCTAAAACGCCAACCCAACAAATTACAAACTTCACACGCCTCAAAAGAAAAACTACAATAATTCAAATCAAAATGAAAAAAACAAACTCAAGTCAACTTACACATCAACTAGCCAATCACAGACAATTCTTAGAACAAACCAAACAAAACAGCATCAACTATGACATCACAATTGACCAATCAGATAAAGCCACCAAAGAGTCGTCCAGCCAATGAGGCACTGTTTCACTGCCCATGGATGCTTGCTCTGTATATTCAAACAATACCTCTGTGCGGACTTCGGTCCTGGTTGTTACAGTACGATGGACTTCTTTCACAATTTTTCCACTGTAACTATCCAAATCCTAACAGTTGGGTAAGATTAAGACCAACAAAGGCAAGCAGAAGTCTTTGTTTAGATGCAGGCAACACGAAAACCTGGCATGTCATTGTAATGCGTGAGTTCTACGAGGTTTTTAATTAGTCTCATGGTTTTTTTAATACTTAAATAAAAAAAAAACAATTATTTATCTCTTCATTTCTCTTCTGAAAATGGTAGATGTGATCAAATCTGAGGCCATTTCCCAACCTCCATTCTGTCTCCATCTTCAGCTTTAGTCTGGTGGAAGAACCACTCAGCAGTCTCTGATGTCCAAACCAAACAGAAATCCTCTCAATTTTGGCCTCATAGAAAACATTTTTTTGTTTGGGTTCATTTATTGGCCAATTCCCCCAAAAGTGAGGGACTTAAAAATTCTCGGGGGCAACAGCCCGAGATGAACTAGAGGACTGAAAGAACACTTTTAATCATCAAAACCACATGTACAAGTATGTTGAATTGGTAAAAATGTGCAGCTGCACAGTAACAGATAGGTTTTTATTAACTCTAATGTTTTCAAATTACAAGGAGAAAAAAAACCTTGATATAGTATCTGGTATTAAACGTGAAGGAGGCTGGATAGAAAGATTTCAAGCAGTTCTCAAAGAAAACAATGGAACGGAAAACTGAATGCAATAAAAAATCGGTAACAGCATGAAAAAGACCAGCTTGAGGTGAACTTCATTGTAAATAGGTACGGCTACGGGGGGGGGGGCAAATGGGAATTTCAAACTTTAAAAGGTAAAAAAAATTAATGGAATTGCTGACATTTCTGTTGTCAACAAACCATTTCGATTAGTTGGTGAAAATGAGATCACAGGCAGTGGTAAGTATGACGACACTTGGACCAGAGTTGGAGAGGTCAGAGGCCATGGGGTCAAAGGTTCAAGGAGTTGTGTGGACTGATCCATTTGGTGGGTGGGTTGGGGGTGAAGTGAAGTGAATGCATACCTTGTCTGCTTCAATCTCGTCCTGCAATTCACGGAAAGCTCCTCCATCATCCTGATTGGCAAGTTAGTAAATGATCGGACAGGGGAAACAAGCAAAGGGGAGGGGTGTGGACAGGAACATTCAAGGGATACGGGGCGGGGGGGGAGGAGAAAAAAGTGTAGAGCACCAGTGAGAAATGGAGGATGGAGAAAAAGAGCGGGAGGGAAGGACAACAGAGGATTGAAAGACAGGGAAATTGGACGGGCGGGGGGTGTCAGAGTTAGGAAGTTCTAGAGTTATGGATGCCTCGAGCAAATCTGATAGGTTATACTGCATGTGCTTTGCTGATACTGGGCGTAGATTTCGTAGCAACATTTCATCCAGTTTGTGGGGTTAAAAAGGAGGCCTAATGAACAGCATATCAAACGTTTTCTCTTTCTTTTCAAAGCCCCCCAAATCGTCAAGATGCGTGACAAAAATTGATACTACCAACAATCCAAATCATGATTATCTAAAACCATCTTGTGTTAAATCTATCTCATGGCAAAACTGGCACCAACAAAAAAAAAAACAAAAACAAAAAACCACTACCACACACTTCATTCAAAATTGATCAAAGTCTAATAACGGGTACATTCCGACTGAAGCACTTCACGAGTGAAACATGGCATCAAACCTAAAAGATCTAAATGTACACCCGGCCACGATCAAGCTTGCAAGAACCCCAGCCTCAGGACAATTGGACAAAGAAAGAAAAATGAACCACATTCCATGACCTGCAAAGAGTCTCCACCAATCTACAGAAACAGTCCCAAGAGTCGCTCAAGCAATGGGCTGATTGTGACAAGCACAAGATGAAAGAAAAGACTGCATTCAAATGAATTAACGACTACAAAAACTCCAAGGCATGAGACAATGCAGATGTCAACCTACAATGGGAACAAAATAAGGCGTCAACAGCGAATAAAACCTTCCCTCTTGTTTTAAAACATGATGCAAAGCCGCAGTAAATAAGAACAAAGAACCAGAAAAAGAACACAAAAACACAGTAACCCCTTCTAAAAGAACTTAAACAACTTTTATTTCATTCAGATCTTCCCTTAAAAACTGACATAAAACATCCAGAACATAAGTTCATCGAAATGCAAAAAGCAAAGCAAAGCACGTAAAACAGACCAATTACAAAGGAGCAGACCTGCAAAATGAAAGCATATTTCACTATAAAAACAGAAAGTCATGAAATGAAAGAAACAAAACACTAGAAACCAAAATATTCTGCGATCTTATAACAGTAAAAAGGGCATTGATAAAGTTGCTTTCAGCCAAACATCACTGTTTTAAGCCGAGGTTTCGGTGCTGCTGGATTCCTTTGCTTCAGTGCCTGCTTTGACACACAGCGCTGTGCATGCAGCGGCAAACGGTGGACTTTTTTTTTTCAGCTAACATCTTGCACCAAGTTGTATGCACCATCTGTCACCCAGTCCGTCATCACATCTGTCATTACCACTGTCTGTGGCAATTCCTCTAAACTTTCTCTCAGCCACATACCTTTCAACTTTCTGTAACAATCTCTCCCTTTTTTTACTCGATACACCACACTGAAACAACACATTAATGACCTCTTTCTTAGCTAACAAACACCAAAAGACAAAAAAAAAGAACTTCAACCAAAGTCAATTCTACCACCCATCTCACACTCACGCACAAAACACAAGGACACAGAACAAGACATGACACGTGCAGACAAGGTGTCCGAGCACAAATTTATACTATGCTAATTACCCCTGTGATGTCAATGGTGACTCCAGGCTTGTGTTTGTCTTCGTCTGGAAAGAGAAAGAAGCAGACAGAGTTAGTCTAAAGTTCTCCCCAAAACGGGGTTTGAATGTCCAAAATACGTTCAGAAATCTAGTCGAACTGCTATTTTATTTTCCACCACTATCATGATCAATCTTCTCCAAGACAAAACTAATGCCAATGGAGCTGCAAGCAAGTTCATTATTTTACACTGAATGAGAATCAGTGCCGTAGTCAAGTCCACCACAATGCCCAGCACAATTCCTTTTAACAACTCCAGCCACAATTCCTTTCATCACACCAGTCGTAAGTTACAGGGTGAGCAGTGACAAAGAAACGCTTCCGTCAGCCTATTTCAACAGCTTTGTGACTTGGCTGAAGAATACATGACTCGCAACTGACGTGCGGCGACTTGTGACGAACTCAACTGCAACACCGGAATACATGGTGGGACTTCTGAATGATAAACTATCAAATATGTTGTGGAGGGTCCCCTCGTGGCTCAGTTTTTATCAATGGGATCCAACATAATCTTTGAAGTTTCATGCCATTGTCAGACCCGTCTCACCGTGCTTAAGGCTGGCCTCGTACATGGCCCGCTCCATGTCCCGCAGGAAGTCTGATGTGTCCTCCTCACGATCTATCGAGACGTCCATGACTGCGTAGTCTGCGAGACACTTGTTGGCGACGTCACCACGGCCGATTTCGTGGAGCGCGTCTGAGAGTTTGTCGGCTGTGAGGAATAGGGCAAATCAAGAGAAACTGACAAAACATACTGCACAGATATGGTAACAGAAGAAAACAAAATTAAAAAACGTACAAGAAGGCTGAAAAAAATTGGCGTGGTCTCCTCTTTCACCTTCTGTAACTACCAAATATGGAGTATGTGTTGCCGGCATCTCCACGGTATCGCAGAAGCTGTTTTTGTTGTTTTAAGTTAATTGCAACAAATGCACAAGAGGTTTACCTGTGCCAATCCCAGTGATACAAAACTTTGAGGATCCACTTACACATAAACTCTATTATTACAGCACTTTTAAAATTACTTTAGAGATATTTTGAAGTGAAAATCATACACGCACTAGACAGTGGGAAATAGAACACATGAGGAGTCCTCAAATACTTCCGGCAAACACAAAAGCAAAGCGAATTCGATGACATGAAAAACTGCAGCGAAATTTCCTGACTTGAAATGTGTTCAACTTTTGTGAATTCACAGCGCGGAGATTTGATCTGACATCACAAATTCCCGTTTTTTACTGATGCTGAACTAACAGTAATCACTGAAAGAAATTGGTAGAAAAATCATGTGCTACCAAGTAGTCCCCACCAAAACATCTTCCAAAACAAATACTCTGCTACTGTTTGTCTTTCTTTTACAATCAATGTTTATTCACCGTTTTGTTTTCCCTCAGTCCACCAGTACCACTAAATATAGAAAATCCACCAGCCTTTAAACATGTCGCTCACAAAAAATATTTCACAACTAACCTGAAGTGTACACGCGTAACTGAGGGCAAGCAGTAATTAAAACCTGCCTGAATAATACTTGAGCTATTCTCTACTTCCTCCAGCCTTCAAGCAGTGAAGCAATGATATGCAGCGTCTTTGTACAGACTAAAATTTATGCCCCTGCGCATGGCTTCGTTGGCTGGCATGGCAATACTGTAATATCGCCCTCAAGCGTATACGCATAAGAGCAAATTGGGGTGCACAGTGAGAAAGATTTGTTACTCTAAACCACTCCCAGCCCACACAGTGGGAGTTTTCACATGTACGTACTTGTGGCATTTTCCTTGGCGTCCTCCGCCCACGCGTGCAACATGACAAAGGCCTGCTCCTCAATCTCGTCGTTTTCATTCTCAATCTCCTGCAGGTCCTTCTCGCTGACCCCAAGCTGGCGCCCCAGCGCCCGCCAGTCGGTGCCGATCTCCTTGGCCACCTGCATCAGGCGGATTTCGGCCCTGGCATGGGCGCTGGTCGGACCTGTCAACAAGCGCAAAGGTCATCAACAGTTACTTCACACGCACATTAGGGAACAGAAAATGTCGTGATGAAGATGTAACTTTGAATATGATATGCTCGTTTTGCTTTCACTACAAGTTTCATATAAGACATGAACCAACACTTAAAACCAACTGATTTCTCTTAAGCTCCTGCAACACTGCTTTAAACTGCACCTGTAGGTGGCCCTGATCGGGAAGAGTTAACAAGTGATTGCTTTGTAAGGCACCTCACACTTGCAACCTTGTATCCAACTGCAGACATGCTCCAGCAGAACAGCTGTCACATCCTACTTCAATCTTGGTTCCCTGGTCAGCCTTGTCCCCAGCATTTGGCTGAAAAGTATGCTGCAATGCATTCAGTTCTAATTTCATCGTCAAGTTAACCAAGCTTCCAGACGGTTCTTGCTGGACACTTGCTATCATAAGCAAAGCCCTTGTCTGATACACAGGAATACGCTACCTTAACCATATACTGCTGGGTTTAATTTGAAGTTGCATGACGTATTCCTGGGGGATTTTCAAGATTTTCCATTTTCAAAATTCTTCAAAAATTCATAACTTTATTTACTGGATGTTTACGCCCACACGAATGACTGTCTGGTGGCTACTCTAATCTGACAGACAACATCTATTGACGCCCAAGTATTTCAGCCAGGCCTGCCACCTTGTAAAGAGAGCCCTGATGGTGCGGTGTTATGTAATTTTGTTTTGTTCCCGAAATTGGCCCAGTGTGCTGCTGGCATCTTTTCAAATGCAGACCAGATTAGCGTGCAGCGGTATTGTATCACTCATCCCTGGAGCGCTGGAGTGATTGTCCCCGGTGGTAATCTGCTCGCGCTGAATGCCACAAACAGAGGTATAATCATTCAAAACAATGACAGATTTCCTCCACTATTGACAACTGAAAAAAATGTTGGCAATTCCCAGCAGCCTGGTCTTTTGTTCCTTGTACGGTCTTTTGTTACAAGGTCCAGCTCCTTTGTCTGATTTCGGGCACCCCAGCCATGCACATAAAGCCAACGTCTCTGGTACCGGGCACCCCGGCACGAAGTGGTTAAGTACAATTCCTTGGCTGCATCAAATGCTTACAATTGTCCTTTCTGGAACAACAAACCTATCCCAGAACAGTTGAGTTTACCCAGAATATGCCTCTTTGGACATGCAAGCTGACTCCTAGATTCCTAGACATGAATTATAGTGCTGAACAGTACTCACTCATTGCCGGGTCCTGAAGGAAGGTGTACTTCTTGCGTAGTTTGATTGATGCAAAGTTGAGATTACTAGCCGCTTCATCCTGCAATTGCAGCACCAAAAATACCCACAAAGATAGGATTAACATTACATGTTTATGGATGGGGAAAAAACAAGGGATTTTGTTACAGGTGAAAGGTGATTTATTTCATACGCATTTAAAATATACATGCTTACCTTGCATCAAGACCAAAGCACAATCAGGTTACCTTGCATACGTTACATGGTTATGTGTAATGTGGTGATAAGAAGCCAGACCATCTTCAATTGAATCTGGTTCCTTCTTTAAAAAAAAAAAAGGCAATCTGTACCGTACATAGATTTATATATAACTTTGCAAGGTAACCAGATTGTTAATGACCTCACCTGGGAAAATCTTCACAAAAATTGACTAGTTAGCCCCCTTAACACCAACAAAAGCCTTCATGAAAGCATGTGAATCTTGCTGCTTTTAACTGATACAAAAAGAATTGTTGGATCATTTTACTTTTTTTAAATTACCGGGACGTGTTCTGTTAATTAATCACAAGGACTTGTTCTGTTAGTTAAACAGTTTACAAACCAGAATTTATACCTTTGCATCTGACTAACTTCCGACACTGACACAAAAATACAAACAAACAGAATGAGGTAAATGTACACGGACATGTTAGGGCAAAAACAACCAACAAAAGTAGCTAAATGTCTTTACATACACGTGTATGCATTTTAAAACCTGTCACATTTATATACAATAAACAAAATATTTGGCCAATGGAAAAACGGTTCAAACTGTTTCAAAAAGTGGGTTTTGTTAGTACATACATGTATATATTTGCACTACAAGTTGAAAGTAATATTTTCCTTGATTTAGGCTATATTACAACTGTAAATACAAGCAATGAAATATACACAGGACTTGAAAAAAAATCAAAACACACTAATGTGACAATGTAACGGCTTCACAATGTGAGGCTTACGATGTTTCATGGTGAACATAATAAACACCATCAATGACATATTCAGATACAGCTGGAAAAAAAATTCACGAAGCAACAAAACTAGACGGGCTATCTCTAGTTGTCAATTTTTCTCTTAGCAACCAAGACTTTAATACAGGATAAATGGAACAAAAAAGGATATAAACTGCTGCAGGAAAAAGGAGTCACAAGAAACACTTTCTTGTTTTATTTCTTTGGTGACAATGACAAATTCAACAAAAAGTCATATCGATAAATGTGACAGTGACAGTCATGAAACTGTTACATCACTTTGCTATCGGGGGGACGGAGAGAGCAGACAGACATCAAATACACTTTGTTTTACCTTTGGGTACTCGTCAACGCGAGTGAGAGAGTAGATCTGTTTGCCAAGAGGGACGTGTGAATTCAGGCAAAGAATTAGGGTAAAGAAGAGAGAGATTTTTGTCAGCTGAAGACTAAGTTGGGAGGAAAGAGAAAAACTTGAGGAGATGGACAGACACAAAGAGGGATGGGGGAAGCTCGATTTGCCTTCTTAAAAAGTCTGTGCCTATCAATTTCGACAAACTCATGTAACCTGAAATTTCAGAGCATCCACTGGTATCTCTGGAAAAATTTTGGTAAGGCTGGTTGGTTTAGACTGACGTTGGAAGGCTGCTTCAGCACAAGGGATTTAGGGGCCAAGGTGGTTTGTTACTGTCCAATCTGTGCGCAGCAAAGCTCCTTCCCTTCACTCCTCCCCCCCCCACTTTTATCTCGCTGTCAGTTTACAAACTCAGAGCATGGTCATTTTGAATGATCTCCACTATGATCAGACCATGTGATTCACGGCAACGTGATATGCACGGCTCTTACTCCAGGCAAGAACTTGCCACGAAACGGCAAAAAAGGGGTAGAAAAGGAAGAAGGAATGGGGAACAAAACACAGAAGACATGGTTTCATTTAGTACGTGATTATCACTACCAGTTATGCATAATGAGTCAGTTTGATATTCCAACAGCACATGCTTAACACGCCGCGTGTCCCAGGTCATTCAGACAAGGGTGCAGAGGTCTGCTCTATCGGCACGTCCCACACAGGCTCATGCCCATTCTTTTTCCCATCAGATAGCCTTGCTTTTTAGAAACACCAGACTGGCTCATTACGTGTCAAACTCTTTCCACATTTGCTTCATGAGGGGCTTTCACTTTGAAGCAGGAGTTACACACATGGAGAGACAGGTGCACTGTAATGGGGGACTGAGAAATAACAGTGTCATGGTTTTTTTAGTCCATGTTGACAATCATGCTGATATTTTACAGGGGGCGTAAATTTCCGAAAGAAAAGGTCAAAGAAAAGGTCAAGGAAACACGTTCCGCACTTTTTAAACTCCAACTAATACATTTTTGTTTTTAAACACATATCTTTTTTGGGGGGGTTCCCATTCTGTTTTAACAGATTTGGACAGACCTGGGATAGGGTAAGAAATGGGAGACTTGGGATAGGATGGAACATGGGACTCAACAATGTAGGCCACAGTGAGCAACCGGAAGCATGCGGGCGGGGGGGGGGGTTTACATACAACACGCAGGGCCTTCCATTATTACATTCCTTTCCAGTACCTGAGTGATGGTGGTTTTTCCCTCTTTCTGCTACAGAAGAGAAAACATAAATTGCTACTTAGTTTCAGTTGCAAGGGCATTTCATCTTGTATTACAAACTTCATAGTCTTCACACTGATATTGTAAAACAGTGAAACTAACTGTTCTTAAACTTGATTTTCAGGTAATAAACGTACTGACAAAAAAGGTCAGGCATTTAAATGCCCAATGTATCAAAAGAACAAGGAAAGATTTTAAAAGTTTTATGGAATGGTCAATTCAAAATTTAAAAAAAAAAAGGAAAGCAACTTCTTCTGAGAATATTCAAATAAAATGTTTGGCTTTACAAAGTCATTTCAACAACAAACACAACACGAACGACGAGGTACACTGGGTTACTGTGTTATAACACATACACATGTATCTCGTAATAAAATGGTTTGCGTTTTCTTTCATTCAAAATTGAGAAAAAAAATATACAATAATTTCCAAAAAAAGAGAAAGAAATGAGGGAATACAACCTCAAAGGTCCCTACCTGGGAATACTGTTCTCTCTGAAACCATTTTTTGAGGGGGAAGAAAACAGAAGATATCGAATCAAGTTTTGCCATGAGAATGTAAGAAATATTCTGCCATGCAACAAAAAAAAGAAAGCCTGCAGTTTTTGTTTTTCCCAAAGCAAATTTATCACGGGCTGAAATCAATAGAAAACAAGACCAACATACGTTTCCAAACTTCCATGGCATTAATTTGATCAGATTTCAAATATTGCTGGTGCTGCAATGAAAACCATTCTGTGCATTGAATAACTGTTTCTAATTGGAGACCTTTTCTTTTTCCACTGTGCGTCCGTACAGGAAAGCATACATGTGCACACGGATAAGCAGGTTACATTTCACAAATGTAACAGACAGCTGTAACTAATTGACGACATGTGCGGAAAGCACGCGAGTCAAAGTAACAGAAAGCAATGCTGACTTGGTACACACTCGCAGTGAAAATTTCAAGAAAGATATTCTGTCATCCAGAAAAAGTTCTAAAACAGGAGTGAATTTGTTCAGTGTCTTTCAAAGAGGCAAAACATCTCGAACAGACATGCAGTTTTTACTCGCAACCTGTCAATTCGAGTAACAACCATGAAAATACTCGCTCAAAAAAGTCTGCCATTTAATGTGCCTGACAAGTTTTCTGCAACAATTCCATGTATGCCCCACAAAATTAATTAACCTTGATTATTTCTAAAATTACATCATAAAACTGACAGGTGCATCACAACAAAGTTAGATGGGATAAACAACACAAAAAAAGGTCAAAATGTGTTGTGCATTTACACTACACTGTCAACGTCACCAACTTCAACAAAAACAACATAAACATCTCACTTGAACGCCCACTGACAGAAAACATAGACACAAGCGGCAAAACAGCCAACAAATCCCGGTGAGAAAAAATTTCTATTTTTCTGTCTTCACAAGGACAACTTGAACCTGATTGGTTAAGTGGAAAATAAAATGAAGCACAAAGTGGGAACTCGGGGACAACAAATTCCTCATGCATACCTCGCCTTTCTCCATTCTGTATTCCTACAGAGAGAGAAAAATTGTGGACAGTGAATGGAAGGAAATAAACCAACATGAACAGAGTGAAGTTTGTTCCACAACTGATGAGGATGATGAGAATCGGCTGGACAGCTTTCATAGGGGTACAACAACCCATGCCGGACGGTTTTCATAGGGGTACAACAACCCATGCAACACTCTTTTGAAGATCACAGACAATGACACGCGTATAATCTATGCAGGCACATGTCAGTCATCAAGACACCTCACATCTATTCGTGTTGAGCAAAAAACTGAGGTACATCTATGCCCTTACTTGACCCTCAGAAGAGAGAGAGAGCCTCCAAAGGGTCATCACAAATCTCTTGTTTGTTTCCATCCGTGGCTTAACGTCAAGCTCTAGAATCATCTAATGTGAGGGGGGCACCAAACGGGGATTCTTCAGAACTCACCCCCCCCCATTGCAGAGAAGGGAGCTGTGTTGACCTCAACGGTCTCCACTCAAGAAACTAAAATTCATAAAACTGAAACCTGAAACAGGAGCTGGAGACAGAGCTGAGATTTGGGATATCCCTAAAATGTTCCCACTGGTTGAATGCGTACAGGCAGACAGCATCGTTCACGCAAGCAGCTGTCAATTCCTTAAAAAGCATTTAAAAATGCTTCCAAACACCGAGGTGTCCTGACAACAGAGACTATGTGCACCGGATGGAGACTGACCTAGGGTGAATGAAGCACACACATGTGCGCAGTATGTAGTTTTTAACCATGCAAGAACACGTATTTGGGAAAATGTACATGTACTGTACATGACCAACATGTACAACGACCAATGCCCCTGACGTGGCGTTTCCTAAAAACGCTCAAATTCAACATATACAGACATACATGTACATGTATCACACACACAGATACATGGCAACTTCTGACATTATTCAATACATAAAGTCCCCCACCCACCCATCCTCCAAATAAATGTAAACATTCTTTTTGGGGGGGAGGGATCTACAGTGAAAACAATTTGTACAAGTATTGCAACAGTCATGCTCTGTTTCCATTTCCCACATGGATTTCTTCCTCCAAATTTGCACATTGAATCTCTAACAGAAAAAACATAGAGAAGGATAAATGAACAAACGAAATCGAGATTTCACCGTCTGTCAACGGTGGCCGGCAGGGAACTATTACCAAAGCAAAAGGTACAATTAAAAGCAGCAAGATTGGTCACAGGTTTCATGATACTGATGCAGGGTTAACCCATCAAATAAAAAAATCATTTCATGACACTCAAATATGCACTGATCATCTTCAATGTACAGCAGCCACAAATGACAGCCTTCAGCAGCCAGGATGGGGAGGAAAAAAAACACAGCTGTTCATGTTTTAAGTAGAGAAAAGGGGAGCGTGTGGATGTCAAAAAAACTGCCACTTGAACCCGGGGGAAAAAAAATGTGGGCAAATTACACCAGAGCAAAATATAAACCTGCGAACTCCAATGCTACAGCTTGTGAAATTTTGGCCTTTCAACAACAAAATCTGTATGCGCTAACATGGTGAACTTGCCCCGTGATCCCATAATGAAAGAAATGACAAGTGATGGTCCATACACGGTCAAAATAAATCCATAAGCAATCGTTTTTTATGTTTGTTTAAAAAGGTCAGCCCACCAATAAAATGAAATGCTAATTTCAGTGAAAAAAAAAATCCAGGGAAATACAAGGTACAGAGCCCTAGAACTACTCCTCAGAAATACAGAGCATGGCTCCATTTGTTTTGAGCAAATGTCCTTTCATGATATATGCCGGTAACATGCCAGTTGATTTCATCGGTGCACTGACCTTTTTAATTCTTGGTTAGTTCATATTAAAACCATTTCCACCAATGCTTCCAACAAAAACTGTTCCCATCAAACAACTGTGACAGACTGAGCCATAGTCTATCGGATGGCAAGAGATTGTTAAATGACGTGATTTTGTCAGAAATTTGTGGCATCATCTGTACGAGCACATTTCAGTACTGGCCCCAATATTTCTTGAATTTTTCTTGATTTTTCAAACACACTGAACTTGAAATGCCACTGAAGCCTGTTTGATGAGGACAGCCCTTGCTCGGAGCAACTGTTTGTGTACGGTACATGTAACCATGGTAACTGCTGATGATGGGTTAGTAACAGCAGGATGATGTTTTTACACTTCTTTATATGAGGTGAGGGAAACGTGTCTCCAAAATATCATTCGTGCTTATGTTCACATTCACTATTGGTCAGAACTTTCCTTCATTACCATCAACTTTTTCTCTTTTCACTATTCTCCAATTTCTTACAGTGTTCAACTCTCAAAACAGGAGTTCACTGATCCACAATCACCCCCAAGAACACCTTAGGTCTAAAAAAAGAAAGAAGCTGTTTATCAATTACACGTCACTAAATTTTTAAACACGCCTTTTTCATTTGTTTCTTGTCCTGTCTTCACGTTCATCCTTTAAGAAGTCTCATTTTTCTGTTGAAATATGTCATCTCCTGATACCCTCTTCAAAACTACTTGCACGTCTACCCACATTAAGTGCATGCATTTAACTGGCTCTCATAACAGACAACCATGTGAACTATTCTACCCAAAGCCTCAAACTACTCCAACCAATTTAAAATTTATCACACAACTTTCATCTGAGGCCTTTGTCCAAATTACATGTAATTAATTTTTGTGCAAATAAATGGACAAATTCTCATCTTTGACTTGTACTCTGGTTCATGAGTGATCCATCTGCCCAAACTACGAAGAACCACAATAGCCAACAAACATATTTTGCCCATACTCAACCAATCAGATATAGCTGGTGTACGATAACTGGTACCCTTGCCTGCGATGATTTCATGCAGTGCTCACAAACCACTTGCAGAAAACTAAGCAACAGTTTAAATCTTAAGGATTCCAAGACTTCCAGAAAGTCACATGATCACGTCAATAACATCTCCCAAAGAAAAAATTGTCTCCAGAAACAGAACTTTTATATGATTGAACTCCATGTTAATCAAGAAAACATCAGAAACCATTTCTGCTGCAAGACTGTTTTAACTGGTTTTCTCCATGTCACTTCACACTCCCCGATTCTACTTTTCCTCTGCGCAAGAGTTATTGTTTAATACCTAAACAAATATTCTCCAAAATTGGTGACAAAAATTTGTCATTAGGACACTGTGCCGCTCTTCTGCTCGTGGCTTGGTCAGTGCAGAAATGCCGAACTTTGCCATCATGCAATTATCGCAGTGTGGAACACTACAAGTGACTACCGACACAGACAGACCAGTCAGCATGCAGACAGTCAACAGTCATGCAGTACAAGGGACGCATCTGAGACAAATACCATCGTCTAGAGAGGGCAGACATCAATCGATCCATTCATAAATATGAAAGATATTTTAAAGGTTCAGCTTTTCAATGACAGGAGAAAGGTTCCTGTAGATTTCAATTTCTTTTGATCTCGATACAGACGTCTGGGTAATTTTTCATTAAAGCATCAATCATGGAAGTATCCGTAATTGTGTTAATTGTGCCATTGGTTTCCCTCTTAATGAAGATGCGAGCGTTAAGCTTGAAAGGACGAAGGAAACTCAGCAATCTGACAAGAAAAATCCACAATGATCAACCAGTGTCATGTCAACACATCAAAATATGCCTTGAAATCATAATGGGTTGAAATCACAGTTAAAATCATAATGGGTGAAAGTGGAGATTATAAATTTATGAGTTTCGTAAGTAAACTTATGGGGTTTTATGAGTAAATACAAGGATTTCTAATTGTTCGATACATTGTAATATGTTTTATGTGGGTTACTAAAAAAGCATAAAATGGTGAACTTTCAAATGAGATAAGGCGTCAAGTAAGGCGTCTAAAAAGCAACCAGGAAAAAAAATCCACCAAATATTTGAGTTAAATTTGAGTCTGTCACTCTCTAGCATGAGCATGTCTCGGATACTGTCCCTCAAACGCACGCAAACACATGACATGTATACACGTGTAATCTAAAAGCGTCGGTTGTTGAATAAGCTACCTCCTCACTGCTTTCACTCTCCGACTCGCTTTCGCTCGGCCGTTTGACCTGGGTAGAGGTCAAAGGTCAAGGCAAAGAGGTTGGGAATAAAAGTCGCAGTGGTGGAAGACACGGGATGGGGGAAAAACGATGCATGTTCTATCAGTAACATGTTGAGTTCAGCGGTTAATAGGTTAATTACAGTATCTTGGCTAAAATGCCGGGTCTTTCTTTTTACTTTCTTACCAATATTGTTGAATCTCAGCAAGTTTTCTCCAGAAATCTAATCATTTTTTCCTTTTCAATATTTAAAAGTTTCAATTTCACAACAATACAGAGATGGCAAATAAAATTTGAGGAATTATTGAGGATGAAAATAAGCTTAACCATCACAAAACTCTCTTCAGTTTAGAAAAATGTTAAACCAATTTTGGGGCCATTTGTCATATTTTTTTTCCGCCTTATTGTAAAAGGTAACATTTGCAAAATTGGATTTTATTTCAGTGAACAATGTTGGGAAAATGCCAAGATAAAGACTGTTAACATGTTAAAAAAATTGAAAAAAGAAATGTTTGTGTTCTGAATGGAATCTAAAATGATCTACAATGAATGAATGAATGATGATTCAACAGACTTCATGATAATGTTCTCAAACCCCTTAAAGTTGAGAGGTCAAGTACCGGCGTAGTTTCTAAGACTAAATCCATTCTTCTACCAACTAAAAGCCCCAAACATACCGTCAGTAAGCAAACCTTATACTAAAAAAGAAGTCATGCAAATACAGTAAGTCTACTTGTAGGCATAATCTGTTAGTTGTAATATCTTCAATGTTAAGAAGCAGGAATTGGATCTTTTTTTTTGTAGCAAAGATGACTAGTGGGCCCCAAACCAACTTGTAAGATATTGCTGCAATTGCAGGGCAGGAACTTCATTCTTGAAGGGGCAAGGCAATGACACCTTTACAAAGGGCAATTGTATTGATGAACATTCAACTTGTCAATTGGATCATTTCAACGGGCATCAAGGCAAGGACCAGGAGCATCAAGGCAATTGCCTTCGGGAAGTTCCTACCCTGCACTGTTCCCATTTAACAGCAAAAATGCCCACCACAGTAACTGAATTTGTCAAAAATACTTATTACGTATTCAAAATAATTCACTATCAATCTGTTTTGTTGTGTCACCTAAATGTAACCTTCAACAGGAAAGATGACAATTTAGATGGCAATTACAGTTACTGATATCTGCAAATAATGCAAATGTCCCACTTTATGTCTCAGAGTTGATCTGAACAAGCAGAAATTGTTACTCAAAAGAATTTTTAAAAAAAGTCTCCAAAATAAAAAAAAAACAAAAACAAAAAACCCAGTCTTACCTTGACAAATGGAGGCATGGTAATGTTGAGGTTGCACAACGCCTTCTGTGGCGGCATGCCCCGGGTCACCTTGGGCTCTGACATGAAGGAGAGCCGACCGCAGGGCTCCGTGGCCGAGTCTCGCACCCGGACGAAGAACGGTAGTCGGTTCTCATGGAATGGGGAGAAGACCAGGTGTAGCTGGTCCCCGGATTTCTGGACAGGCACCAGGTTGCCAGCCATCTCGATGTAAATTGGTTTACTCTCTAAGACCTATTAAGTTGAAAGGCATGGATTAAAAACTTCAATAGTGATAAGCCTTCGTGGCACATTGCCAGATAGCAGAAAATATTCCTTCCTTAAAAAGCAGTTCCTTAACTGAATCTGCTTGCCCTGAAGAAGATACTCAGTTACCGTAAACTCGGCAATCACATATTTCAGAGCACTGATTTTGATATCATATTCTTGTCGTTATTCTGATCACGGTGCTACGCAGCCCTTCCATATTTTTAGGTTTTTATACACGATGGATTCCTTACAAGAATGAGAGAAGACACTTTCTTTGTTAATATGACCTTCCAAAAACCTAACCGACATCCACTGGTTTACACTTGAACACGACTGATTTTCATCACGATGGATACAAACCCATGAGGTTTTCATGTGGGAGCAGGGTGGAAAGTGCCAAAGGCTTTCACATGTCAACTCGACACCTCCCTCTACATGTGTGAGCCCAATGTACAGGGATAATGATAATACAGTGCCTTGAAATGGTTTGCTAGATAGATGGCGCTTCACAAGTGCTTGTTATTATTATAATTATTTGCTATGCTACAAAAATATTTGCTTAACAGGAACAGATTATCAGCCAAAGATTCATGTAATGTGCACTGCTTCTAACTGGTTCCCACCACATTACGTGTTCTGCTCACCTCGACATCTTTGCTCCGGGCCACCTCCTTGAAGTGTTCCTGCTGCTCCAGCGTCTTGTCGGTTCGGTCGTCTGTCACGCAGTAGACACGGACGCGCGACTCAATGGGGTCGTGTGTCTTGGCGTAAATGGCAAAACGAGCCATGAAGGGCACCGCCTTGAGCTCGTGATACAGCTCCCGGGCAAAGTTGCTGGCCTGGTCAATCTCCTTGCAGTCCATCAGCCAGAACCTGGAGAAAAAAAGTGGGGTAAAAACTTTCCTTGCTTAAATATCATCCAAATAATCAGAACTACAAAAACCATGTACAAAGTTTCTATACTTAATCTCTCAAACAGAGTTCTTCTAACACTTGCCTTGCAGAGACTGTAGTCGTGAAGGAGACGCAGTTGTCCACAAACGTGAGTGGGGTAGTGCCAGTGATATCTTCCCACTGGGCCGGTGCGGTTCCCCCTAATCAAGAAATAAGGTGAGAACTTGTCAGTGTTCTAGGTTGACTTTCTTGCTATTAGAAAAGAGAAAGTTACAGTGAACTGTAGCGACAGCCAGAACTGGGCTTTATAACAGTAAGTCAGCACCGTAAGTCAGCTGGGTCAAGATTGGCTCTGAGGAGAAAGACAACTCAAATAAGCAAATTGTTAGTTAAGAGTACCAAGACCTCCATCTGTTATGTTGGTGGGAGAATAAAGCACCTGAAATGGTGGCTTAAAATTTAGTTCAAGGTAACGGAAAAGACCTATAAATGTGTATATTAGTTTCTTTTTTTTAAATACTTTAAAAAGTAGACTGTCAAGTTCAGGATGTATTCTGCAAGAGGTTATGATCGGAAAAACTTTTTAAGAAAGCAGGCCTATTTCGAGGACACAGATACCTGTGGGTATTAAGAAACATAATACAAGGATGGAAACATCAGTATAAAACTGATTATGGTGTTTATTGACAAAATAGTAAGAGAAATGTCTAGAAAGGATGCCACATGAATTTTCACAAAAAACCTGTTATACTGAGGTGTGCTAAAAGGCATTATATTCTTTTAAACAAGTGTGACACAAAATAGGGAAAATGTTAGGCTTTTGAGTCTGGCCCAAGCAAGTCTGTAACTTTTGTCACAAGTCCTAAAACAGCATTTTCAGTGCTTGTTTAATTCCATCAGAGAACAGCAACAACAACATTGAAAAATACAGGACCAAAGTTGAAAACATCAAGTCAAGTCAAAGGGTGCTTTGTGAAGTGAGTGTTACATTTTCTCGTGCTGAATTAAGAAGTCTGTGCCATTGTTCCATTTTTCGTTTCTTTTTTAAAATTCCACCTAACACCGGTAAGACTTGATAATACCATAACACTCAATGTCTTCTGACGTTAGGGACAACAGACTGAAACGACTGCTGGACATCGTTGGTTTCTCATCTGCGGGGGGATATGTTGAAGGAATTGGGAACAAAAGTCACACTAAAGCTCCCGCTACAATCCTGCAATGTGGCAATCTTTTTCTAGCTTTTTTGGAAACGATATTTTTACCTGACAAAATCACACCAAAGGATGCAAAACGACAAAAAAGCCATTACTAATTAAGACAAAAATCCATCTCCTTTTTGCTATACATCTAAATAGCTATCAAGAAATTACATGTATGATGAAACCTGAAAGTGTAGGGAAGTGAAGTAGGAACTTGTACTCCAGCAATAGTAACTGTACAACTGTCAATTTACAGCAATCAGGTGCACGTCGAAATTGGGTGTTTCTTTACGCAGTACCTTTCCATTGTTTTGACATAGCTCATCGGTTACATGTAAATATACTGAGAAATCCATGGCGATATTATAAACAGCAACTGGTACATGTCACATAGGTTCTTGAGCATAAGATGCATATATGCATATTCTTGTTACAATACTTTGTCAGCCCCATGCAGGACCAAGAGAGGGCACATTTTTCCTATCAACGAAGGCTCATTTGGTGGGAACTGCACATTACTGGTTAACAGATGATTACGAAATGCAAATGTTACGGTCACATCGTTACCAACAAAATGAACACTCCCATCAACATGGCACCCACGAGAGGGTGCTTCTGCTCAAGGCAGATTGGTCAAAACGAAAAATTTAAGGCAAGCACCAGACCTGCACACCAGAATAGTACGGTGACAATGATGGCTTCCAATTCTGTTCATTAGATCAGTCTACACGTGTCGTATAAGAAATTGCACGTTTTTAGTCTGAATTTCCATTCTCCGACGTCTTACCAGTGATACTGCAGAGCAGTCGCAGTGTGGGTGTGTCCCCGCCGTAGCCGTTGATGATGCCCTGGTTGTTGGGGATGGGGATCGTCACGGTGATGGCCTTGTGGAACTTGCGGCGGCGGGGCTCAATGGTCACAATGGGGCTGACCATCACACGGTTGCCCAGGACTTTCTTGACTACCTCGTTGCCGACCGGCTGGGCCTGAATTTTTTGGGGGAAAGAAACAACATTCTCAGTTCTCCAAGGCTGGGAATAAGTACATGTACAAAGGGCTCATCTGATCTACACAGACTTGGGATCACTTTATAAAAGCAAACACGAATTTAATTCGACAACTTTGCATAATTTTGCATTTACTGTCATTCCAAGAACAAACTCGCTTTGTTTTCTTTTTCTTTCCTTTTCTTTTACTTGTCTGTTTCAGCAGGCTTTGCTGGTCGTTCAAAGGATATGAGACTTCTTGGGCTCCATCAGAATCTAAAGTCAAGAGCTGGGTCCAGGTCTTTGCCGGCTACAAGTTCATGTACATGAGCGGATACGGCGGACATTCCCGTAAGTTGTGGAAGCCCGTTCCTCAACACAGCCTTTACCTGCAAGCCCACTTTGATCTTCTTCGTCAGCGTGCCCTCGGGGAAGACGGCCTGGACCTGGGGCACCACCGTTGAGCTGAGCATGCCACCGCTGGTGCCAATGGTGTTGGTCTCCTGCCTGACGCGGGAGATGATGGCAAAGTACTGGGGGAAGTCGTTGGTCAGGATGCGGCAGATGCGCCGGTCCGAGTTGACGTTGTTGTCATCTGTGATGAGGGGAGAAGAGCAGGTGACTGAGTGACTGTGCTTTATCACTCCACATATAATTTTAAGGAACTCGGTGATTACTTCAAAGTGCTCAATATCCTCAGAAAACAAGTGGACAAGGCAGAAATTCCATGCTTGCATAAGCCCATCATGTACATTAGAATTGAGGTCCAGATACCTACATGTACATGTACATACCTGAGGTTTCCCTGCTTCCAGAGCTAGCACAGAAATTTGACACTCATCCCAGGAATAGAGAAAACTGATCGATGCCCTGGTCAGCAGTCTACCAAATTTAATTGGTCCCACATTTCATGGAGGACAGTTGCACTAGCTTAGCTGTAAAATATTCTTCATATTTCCATTAATGGCTCTGAGGACATCTGTGTCACCTGAAAGGTCTCAGCTGAACCCAGCCCCTATCTCTTCAGGCACTAACGTCAAGTACTTCAGGAGTACTTTACATGTAACTATATGTAATAGCTAGTCTTCACAAGTACCCCAATTTCAATGTGAGCCTGTAACTCTGTCACTGTTCATCTATTGTCAGCAGCAAGCATCCTTGTAGCAGTCCTGGTTAAAAAGTTCCAGTGAAGAACCCGATAACAGAGCTGGTTTATCATCATAGGTTGACTTACCGTCTCCCTCGTAGCCTTCCAGGGCCTTGTGGACCTCCGTGTCCTTGGCATCCAGCGAGTGCTCCTTCCAGGTGTCTCCCTTCTCACTGCGCAGGATGACGATTTCACGCTCCTTGCCCCGCAGCGAGGCAAAGTGGGGCACCTCGATCAGAACGGGACTGAATGGGTTCAGAGAACGTGAGGAGACGCGTCAAGAAGTTGATAAGAAAACATCTGGGTCATTGCTTGTGCTTCTGTGTAGGTGACAGGTTGTGTTGTCATGTAGCTGTTTCGATGTTGTGATAATGAGAGTTGAAGTGCACTGTGTCTTTTTGAAGAGCTGAGGTTGCATGAAGATGTGTATGCTTTGGTCAAAATGTCTTAAATGTTTGGAGAGTAGTTTTTGTCACAGTTGAGGTGCCAAGTCAGCCAGCCATCACCGTCATTATTAACGAGAGTATTTGACATGTGCTGTTTTGTGCATGAGTGGATGTGTGCCTTTTTGAAGTATCTTCAAAATGGCCCCCATCTAAGTGCGCTCCGTGGGTTTTGATCATTAACTTGTGAGAGTGAAGGTGTAAAAGTGCTCCTCCCCTTGAAACTTTGCCAAGTGAAGTGAGACTGAACAGCTGCACATTAGGAGAAAAATGACCAAAGATAATCAGCCAGGATGGCGTGGACTGCAGCAACAGAGGTCCGATGAGTGCCAAAAAAGTGGGGGGAAGGTGATAAAATGGGAGGAAACTAGAGTTCAAACAAAAGTAGACAAATTTGAATGTATGCATACAGTGCACATTCTATGTGAAATTGAAGAATTGACTGAACTACCTACAACTAAGCTTTAGAAAGCCAACTACAGAAAATGGACAAGTACTAGTATATATGACAAACAAGTATGAAAAGAAATCAGCTAAGCACGTCATAAAAACTTGGCTAGAAAAGTTCATATTCAGCAAGTCTGTCTGCTCCAGTTGGCACACATAAAAAAATAACTTCAACAGAAGGAGTAAAATTACAAACTTCTGAAAAGATTGGAGAAAGTTTGTAAGAAGATTATCAATGTAAAAACTGTAAAGGGACACAAGTATAAGAGAACCATAGAACGATGGCAAACAAGGACTCAAGTAAGATTTGCAAAGGATGAGAAAATGGTGAAATGATAAGCTAAAAGATAAAAGGTTTACATGATGTAAGAGGTACAAAAAGAATGGAATAAGTCTTTGCCAATGGAAATGAGACACCTGGAGATTTACATATAAGAGTGAGGACTGGCGAAATTCTCAACTTTTTCGGTGATTCTTATTTGTAACATCCGGCAAATATGATTGCATAACCAAGGACAACATAATAGAAAATCTCCATAAGATAATAAGTTCAAAATGCCCAAGGCAAAAACGGAGCCCCATTTCCTTTTAAGGCTATCTTAAGGCCAAGCAAACGATCAAAATGAAGCTGGTTGCTTGGCAGCTGGCATCAGCCTATTTGAAATCCAAAATAACATCACTGATAAGACATGTACCAACCACGCCATCCAAAAATGCTTCCATCAACAGTACCAGTATTTGCATGGGCAAATTAACAACACCGCTGTCCCCTCCAGTTTCCATTACACAGCAATGCTTGTTTGCTTTGTACTAGTGAGGCCATTTTCCAAAGCTTTTCACTGTTAAATTTTCATAATACTCTCCACATCTTGTGCTGCAAGACAATTTGCACCAAGCCTTTAGGTGGTGGTGATGTTAGGGGTGCATTCTATCATGTTTCATAAACATTTTTCATGCACTGTACACCAAACGGTTTTGAGGTCATTTTCCTGCTTGCAGTTCACGTCTCATGTTGGTGCTCCACTATTTGTTCTAAGCCCTTGAGTGTGTGCTGTTACAAGCTCTCAGTCATCCATGGTGCTGTCTGTGTGAGGGCATGTTCTTAAACTTGTGGATGGATTAGTCCTATTACGTATTAGTCTGTAGCTGTGTTAATGTGTGATGTGTGGTGTACCAATGTGACAAACATTCAAAGTGAATCAGCTTCTTTCAATACAAGCTTCAACTCTGCTAAAATGTTTCTCAATCAACACCATCTGTTTGACGGGCATGCTTTATAGTCAACAAAGACATTCACAGCTTAAAGTAAGCTTTGGTGAAAATTGTGCAGTTTTGCTTCTAAACTTTTAGTTTGTGAGGATAAATTTTGTTTATTTGTTAATTGAACCTGAAGCCTTTCATTTTGAGAGAAGCCAACTCATTATAAGTCAACACAAATTCAACATTTTGGCAGAAATATATTAAAATGCATACAAGAATCATGAGAAACCCGAAGCAAAATGCATGACTGTCTGCAACGCTAGTGATTCTAACAACCATGCACAAGATGCAGAACTCATGCAAAAAAAAGGGGAAAATGACATGTCCCAGAGAAAACGGCGGGGAAAAAAGGGGGCAGAGAAAGATTCCGATGATGCTGAATCTTGTGAGAGGAAATGTCTCAACATTCATACTCCTGTTTTCCCTACCGGGATTTACCGGTACATGTATGCACTGCTCTATTGACACTCCTGAAATGGAGCAATGACCGTTTCCAAATCATTTGGTTATTGCCTGTCGGCAATCCAAAATTGTTCCCGGCAGATGTAACGTAAGGGTTTGTGGCAGAGAACATTTCAAAATTTTGAGACACTCCCTGACACTGAAGACATGCTTCGGTACATGACCCTATCTACCAAATGAGGACAGACTCAAGCGTGCTGATGGTATGGATTTACATACTAAACTCACAAATATCCTCAGGTAAAGGTGGGGTCCTACAGGTTGGGACTACTTACAAATTGATTGTGGGTAAATCTAATAGCCAATACACGTAAATATACCTCCAATTCCATAATATACCTGCAACCTAGGCAGGACAATTTCATAAAGCTGCTTAAGCACAAAATCTGCTAAAGCGTGAAAAAACCTTGCTTGACAAATCAGGTTACCAGCCAAAACTCCTTGTGATGTACAGTATATTGGCTTGGAATGGTAATCACCTGTCTTTTGGTTAGCATGATAATTACACAGATTTTGAGCTGGTAACCTTTGTTTTTTAAGCAAGGTTTCTTGAGCTTTAACCAAATGTTGTGCTAATGAAATTGGCCCAAGAAGTGAGTATTCATGCACTGATAATTTGTATAGGCCAATACTTAATGAGTGAGAACCTGTTAATTACATGTACACCTCATCTACATAATCCGATCCATTGGTTTACACATCACAGCCTTTCAGAGGCCGTCTAATTTACTAGGCATAGAGAAAGCCCAACTTGTTCTATGATCATTTGTGAAATCAGGCAAGCAACTGGGGGGTCAGAAAAAGGCTATAATGAACTCTGAAGTAAATCAGAGCAAAACAGCTGATCACGGGAAAATATGTCACGGTGAAAGTTACATTTTCCCCGGGTTTCTGTTCAGGTTGCATATTTTTTGGGGGGGAGGAGATATATCACTGTCGACAAAACCCCACTTGGACTCCTTTCTGCTATTTACATTTTATTTTACATGTATCACATCTTTTTGAAGTAATTTTTTCGGGTTTACTTAGAAAGTACAGCAAACAGTTTACTACCCCAGTCATGCAGACTGCAACATACAGGAAATGTGCAAAGTGAAGATTACAAAAAGGGCTTTTTCGTTGATAAAATTACGCTAATTTATGTAAAAGAAATCTTAAATCAAATTATCAACTGAAGAAATGTCTATTAAACTGGGAGAAAATTTGACCCTGAATAAAGAAGATGTCAAAGCAGTGTCAAATTTGAATTAAATTTTAAAACAGATACGTACATATATGAAACAAATTTCAGTTTTGAAACTAATTTTACATGTAGCTGAGACAAAAGCTCCCATAAAATTCAAATCCATGCCAAAAACGTAAATTCTATTTAAAAAAAAATCAAAAGAAAGGAAAAAAATCAGACTTGAATCTCTCAAACTGACAATTCAAAATAAGAATTTCTCCAGTCAGAAACTGAGTTTCAGACTGGCATGCAGGGTACCGGGCACAAGCAGCCGGTGACATACCCCAAGAAGTTTTCAGATGGGCCCATCTCCAATATGCGGCAGGCCAGTCGCTCCATGTCATTGAGAGGGGGGAGGGGAACTCGTTTCTTGCCCAGGCCGCTAGTGGAGTGGTCAGGGATTACGGCCGAAGGATTGAGAAGGATGGGAGGGACAGAAGAGGTCAGACAAAGGAACTCCGGCATTTCTCCGAGTTTATCTCAGGGTTTGTTACAAGTTCACGCTATCACTAAAAATTGGAGGGCACATCATTAATGAGAGTGGCTATTTCCATGTAAATGAACACAAGACTGACACCCATCAGACAGAAATGGACTACAAGTCAAGATTTTTTGTCCTCAAAAGAGTATATATTTAATAGTAAAACATTTCCGACACTACCTGTTGACCCATGTCCCAACTCTAACCTACCTAGAAGTAACTACCGAGGCCGAGTCAAGCGACTGATCATTTGAGCATTCTACCTTTCCTTCGACCAAATACATGTATGTGGTTACATATGGGTAGCAAATCCCTCAGCTGGGCATGCTTGTCTGGTGTGTCTGCCAATTGATTAAGTATCAGAACAGGGGGTCGGTGCCCTAGTCCAAGGATGATGGGAGTCCAACTGATGTTCAGTCCTCAGTAGGAATTTATTCCCTAAGTCCTAGCCGGATCACATGCCAATAAAATGTAGAAGAGGAAAAACTGGAAGGAAGAGTGAACTTTTGGCCTCATTGTTTAGGCATACATGTATGTATCTGAGGTAACAAAGTTTACTTGCTGCTCACATGTGTCCTTTTGGAATGCAATTATGTTACCAAATAATTTAATTTCCCTCTTTCTATTTTTTTTATTTTTTCACCTTTAAATATTAAAGTTCAAAAGCAAATTTTTTGAATATTCAATAATCGATCAACTATTCCAAATGGCCCTACGTGTACTACCCACCCAGAGAGTGTAACCACTGAAAACCGTGCATCAAGAAAGCAGGCTGATGAAAAGTACACTTGTACACATATCTAGATGCTAAAACAGTGACATCACCACTACCCAGAACACACCGGCTAGACACAGCACAGAGTAAAAACTAAACACAGAACACTTGTCACAGGTTCTAGCACCAAGCTGTGACCAGATGAAATGTATGGAAACACCACGGCCAACACGTTCTAAGGTCGGGCACCTCATGCGACAGAAGCAGAAAAAAATCACTTCCCCATTGTTTGTTTTTTCTTGGTTCCTCTTTCACCCCCAACCACATACCCAATAAACTTTTCGGCAGGAGGCCCGAACTCCATGATTCCGTTGACCAGCTGCTCGCCATCGTTAAGGGGCGGACTATGGATGAGTTTGTTGCCAAGGCCACTGGTGGGTTTGTTAGGAAGGGGGACAAGGAACGAGGCAGAATTCAAGGGGCAGTGAAGTGCACCAGGGGAATTTAAAAAGTGCAATTTTATTATTTTTTTCTTTCAAAATGTTGCAGCGGTTTTTAAACAGAGAAAAAGCAAACAAAAAAATTAATAAGAGATCACAAATATAGAGGAAGTCAATTTTAAGGCTTTTTATAATTGGTGAAACAAACTAAATCTGTAAGTCAGCTTCAATTACTCTCATTTGCAGAATTTTGGGGCCACCAATGGTTTCAACACAGCAGAAAACAAAATGAAAAAAACGTTTTACAAGACACATCTTGAACACTGGTTAGTACACTTTAGAGCCTAAAATGACCTAAGCGCCACAAGTGTCAATTTGAAGCTTTTCCAGACATCAGGATGCCCTGTTAGGAAGCAGCTGTGTAATTGCCAGAAAAACAAAGCCTCACGAAAAAAAAAAAAATTGAAACAAGATTTAGCTTGTAGGAACAATTTCATCCCTTACAATCCCTTAGCAATAAGAATAACCAGCCAAACTATCCGGGGGAAGACCGCTATATGTACGTTAAAATCACAAATGCACTTTCAATGCTAATTTAGTTTTTAAACAATGCATGAATTATCAATGAGAGAAACCAATGCACCCCAGCATGGAATTAGCAGAGGAACTGGCAAAAAATGCTGGAACTGAGAAATGCCGTGATGAGATTTGCTGAATGAAAACTATCTATTCTAATGAAGCAAATGACCAGCTGTCCATGACCCAGAGAGAAAAAAAAAAGAGAAATGTGATTCTCGTAAACTCTGTTGCCATTGTTTTGTTGCTGTTTTCTCCAAAAGGGGGAACATTACTCTCTCCGACCACTCTAATCAAATCTTCCCATCAACCTCTTATCAGCGCTGGGCTTGTGAGTGAGGCTATGTTTTGGACAGAAACTATCTCACCTTTTTTGACACAAAAACTCAAAATCAAGCCCACGGCCTACCCTTCTGAAAACACAATTTGAAAATAGCAAAACCCCACTTACCCGAGGAATTGCGTGTTGGACGGACCCACCTCCAGCACTCGCGTGGCGAGGGTTTCATTCTCCAGGAGTGGAGGGGGCGTGGTCAGCTTGCTCTTCTTAATGAGGCGGCAGGTGACACGGGTGGGCCCCGAGGCCCGCTTGGGAGGGATGACCACCCGCAGGCCGGGCAGACGGCAGCTCTTCATGGTCCCACCCCGTGCATCCACCATGAAACTAATCAGGAACCTGCCCAGAGAGCATGAAAGGCAGATGGGGGAGGAGTTAGAGAAAGCGGTGGGAAAATTTAGATCAGCATGCTGGAATTGTTACTGTCGTGAGTGCACACTGAATCACACACAGCATGATAGTGTTTGGTGGTTCAAGCATTTCGGAGTCAATTCCCGTTCTATCCTGGAATCAAGACTACACAGAAGGATCAACCCAAATTTTCACCAGCCAAAGCATACCTGACTAAAAATGGCATCTATTCGAAGCTTGTGTGCATAATTGTTCCTCGCTCCATTGAATTTATCACGACATATAATCTAACTTAGGAAAATCAGTTCATAACTGCCTGTCTTACAACTTTAAGCATTATTACACAGGGTTACAGGCAATTAGATGAGAGCCTATGAAGATGGAATCAAATCAAATAGGGTTTTAGTTGAGTCTGTCACAAGTCCTCAAACATCCCTATAAATCCGGCACAAGTCCTCAAAAATCCATACAAGTCCGGCACAAGTCCTAAAACATCCCTACAAGTCTGGCACAAGACCTCAAACATTCATTCACTCTTAAGCCAAGTCATAAGCTCTTCAAATGAAATATAACAATATCATTTCTTTCATCATTGTGCAACCTGTTTGGTCTTGTGGCTGGACTTGTGAAAGGACTTATGAAAAGAATACGAATGAAGTTGTTATGGACTTGGCTAAAACCTTGCTAGATGATGAAGCACCCTTTTATTTATTTTCATGAATGGAACACACAGTCAAGCAACACAAGATGTAGACTCGAATTCTCAGACATGAGAAATACCATACCCAGCAAAGATGGGAATGCTGCTCAGTGGAGCGTTGTCACTCAGGGCAGCCGACACGGGACGCCCATCCTGCCCATACACCATCCCCTCCAGCAGCTTGCCGTCCTCGTCAATGTAGGGGTCCCCGACCGACACCCGCTTGCCATCGGGCGTAGTCACGTTCAGGGTGTGGCGCATGGCAGGGCTTGAGGACATGAGTGGGGCGGCCGACTCCACAGTGATCTCGGTGGTGCGGGAGATGACTTCGCCGCCATCCACAAAGCTCTCCTCTGCCTCGCTCAGCGGAATGTCGCGGTTGAGGGTGCTGGCGCGGGAGTCAAAGCCCTGTGGGCTAAGCATGGCACCGCGATACTTGCCTGACTGCGGGGTGCTGTAACGGCCTGACAGGGAGTCACTGCCAGAGTAGTACCTCAGATTCTGTATCGGAAAATGGGAACAGCAAACTCGCCAGTTAATTCAATGTTCAAGAACCCCAATGATTTCTCAGGTTTAGACAGCAGCCAATGTACTCTTAGGCTCGAACATTTCCAGGAAATCAGATGACAAATGACAACTCTAAAATAGGTTCCGCACTCTCCACATGTTTACACATCAAGATCAGAACTATCAGACCAAAGACAGGATCAACAAAGTGTCCTTCTGAAGCTGTGAGGACACAGCCCTCTGAAAGAAATGAGGACATAGCCTTTCTGAAGCTTCGGGGACATAAACTCTTCGACGCTCAGAGGACATTTCATATCTTCATATCTAATTGCAATTTGAAATCAAGTGTCCCACCTGAAGCATAGCAGCATTCAGCAATTGAGGACTTGTTGATTTAAATGCGGTTAGCAGTGATTTGAAGCCAGGACCCATTCTCCATGTTCAAAATGTTACAATGCTCTACCGGCACATGTACAGGAGTAGGACTTACAAACAAATTCTTCTTACCGGTTCTCCAGACATCCACTCCTCTTCCCATGACTTGCGGTTAGCGATGGGCATGGAGTCATCTCCCATTGTCTTGATCTCTTGCGGGGTCAACAAGGAGTTGTCCCCTGTCATGGAGATGTCATCAGCTGCACACATCAAGATATGTCGTTAACAAAAGTTCACAGGGCATGGAGGTCAGAGCTCAATTTTTTTTTTTTTTTAACACAAGGTTAAGTTAAGTGTTGAGTATTTCATAGCAAATAATACGCAATATTTAAGATTTAGGATTGAGTAGGACAACAGATACACGTACGCAAAGGGGGTTAAATGTCAAAGGTCAAATATGGTCAATGGTAAATATCATGAGCCAATACAAGGGTTTAACAGGTACATATAGGACTTGGACAGCATATGGAACGTTGCATCTTCTAGTGTTCTACAGTGACATATTAGTTTGCAAATGATACCCTCCTCCCACACCAAATCATCCCCATGTTTAGTGCATACTTAACAGGGTTCCTGCACCTAGAGGACAAATAAATTTCATGACTTTTCCATGACTTTTCCGTGACTTTTCCATGACCAAATCATAAAAATCCATGACCCAATAACCCAATTTCTTGGACTATCCGGACTTTTAAAGTTGCGAATAAAATCACACATTTTATGCACTTTCATCTGGTAATAGAAATCACACACTGCGTTTGAAAAATTCCATGACTTTAGTCATTTTTACAAAATTCCATGACTTTTCCAGGCCTGGAAAACTAAACTAAATTTCCATGACTTTTTCATGACTTGTCCAGGCCGTGGGAACCCTGCTGTATAACACCCTGTGCAAAAGTACATGCACACGGTGACCCAAATACGTGTGCATCTGCCAATCCCTCACTTTTTGACCCTCTGTCAAGTCACAAACCAACGCCCACTTCTTGTAAGTGCGCTCCACCATGCTGATCCCTCATTCGTGGGGATAGATTAATCCCTGGTAATCCCGGCAACTCATCCCAGGCCCCGACTCTCAGATCCCACGGTTGGGGGCAATATCTTATGGTACTCGTAATCCTGAGAGTACTAGAGCCGCTACTGCGACCCATGGGCGCGGGACAGTCGGTTACTTTATTCAATACCATGAATGAACACCAATGAACACCACGATAACAAACACTACAGGATCTACAACACGAGAAACACTTGAGCGAGCTGCTGTCAATCTAGTGGTCTTCTGAAACCTTTCTATTGCGTATTTCACATCAATTGGGGTTTGAAAAAGATATTCATTATCAATACATTTAGCAAAGAAGTGTAAGTTACCGCAGGTTTCTCAAATCACATGTAATGTGCTACCCACTGTAAACCCCCCCCACAAAATGGTCTCCAACAAGAAGAGCTATCCTGTTTTTATCAATCATCAGAAACTCCAAAGTAAAACAGACACTGAAGACGACAGGCTTCTTAAAATGCTGACTGAGGACAATAGGCTTCTTAAAAAGTTGACTAAGGACAACAGTGGTACATCTCTGAAACAGAGACACTGAATATCGATTCAAAATATTTAGTGGATTTCCCCGAGAATATTAAACAAGTTCTTCTCATCAGAAATCAGATAAGTTTTGAAAATTTGACACAAATATACATCATGCCAATATATATGAATAGAAGATGTAAAAAACAGTATATACGTGATGTAGAAAATATAGTGAAACTTTTATTGGACATGCAACTGAAACATGCAACCAAACAGAAGTATTACGTAACACATAATGTGAACCATTTTCAATGTTTTTCTGTTGTTGAATACTTCCATGCTACATGTACATGACCACAAGACAAATGGATACACGGAGGCCAAGCATGATACTTAAACCGTGCCAGCATAAAAACCCACAAAACAATAATCGGTCTTTCTTTCTCTCCAATATTTGCAATTATGTGAAATGCCACCTGGCAACGAACAAACCAAAATTATTTTTCCAGTGGTGACATCTTTATTTCGACGACCAAGTATGATTAATTTTTTCTCATGTCAGATTTTAAAAACAGGATATTTTGATGCAAAATGACTGTATTCCAAAACAGAAATTGTCGAGAATTTCAACAAAAATCTCAAAATAGTAATTTATGCTTAGCCCTGGCAATCCCTTGAGGTGCACTAAAATGAAGTTTACCAACCCCCTTCACAAAATACAATGGGGTGCATGACCTTTGACCCATTATTTTGTGTACGAAAATCACACATCCCTTATGAAGAGCCTAGTTTAAAATGAACCTGTTAAAGGTAATGCAATTTTCATTCAAAAGTCCTGAAAGATTGACTCTTGGAATACTTTCCAATTCCCTTTAACCATGTTTTCCTCTGATAAAAAATCAGCCGGAAGAGAAAGAAAGACAGGAACAGGGGAAGGGGAAAACGAAAGGTGCACAAATGAATATACCAAACAAAAAAACCAATCCAAACTCTGTGATTATAACCGATTCGAAGAGAAGTTGGAAGGCAACACAAACGGGTAAGACCTTACCAGGGCTGCCTAATTCTAGACATGATGGTAGTATGGAGAAGGTAGTAACAATGGAGAGAAATTGACATGTTTGGTTACAATGTTATGAAAAGTGGCGGCTCGTTTGGCAGGCTGCAGGGCAGACCCAGAGCTGTATATAGAGAGGGTAGCATCGACTTTGGGAACCAAGATGGCCGTTTGTTTTGTGTGCAGCGCAGCATGTGTCAACAGCGTGCAAATTATCCAAGTGCACTGACGCATAATCCACCATTTTGGTTCCAACAATTGAGATACTCATGTCCCCAACTCTCTCTTTAGCAAGCTCTGGAGAGATCTGGTGTTTGCCACTGTCTGTCCATCAAAGGTTGCCAACTTATTTAACATTGCAACCGTAAAAATCAAATGAAGAAGAGTTGGCCTGGTAACAATGCCGTCTGTTTTAGCTTTACTTGGGGTCTTCTTGAGACAACCCTGATTTGGTTTCACACACTGACCACTGCAAATGCTCCAAGCGAAAAAAGTTCAATCTTCAATCTGATGCAAGACCATCGTAACTGCGGTTCTTCAACTTTTTTTCTGGAACATTTCACATTTCCTCGTAAATTTGAAGTACTAAATATTTCTCTGCCCACTTGCATGCACTTAAACACAGGTCCAGACTTGCCTTATTTCAAACAAAGATTTTACAGAGTGTCGTATTTTTTGCAAGTTGTAGTTTAGAGGTCTGATACAGTTACAGAATTTGTGAAATGGAATTAATGTATTAAATCAAAGACGCAACAAATATTCTACAAGATTGGGATAAAGCGATTGAATGAAATCTCAATTTTTTGCTCTATAAATATTAGGTTCCGGAATAAAAAATACCACACTAACGATGGTGGAAGGTCGGCCCATTACAGGGGTTTTTCGGAGGGGGGGGAAGTAAGGGATTGCCCAGAGGAACGCCCTACCCAACTAGGTGCTTGAGAATCCAACTCAGTCAAATGACAAACTGATGCCACAAACCCAAGGTGCACTCCAAGAGAACTGCTTCGAATAACATAACTTCCACTTAAAAATGAACTAAAAGCACTCTTTAATCTTTGTGCATAATTGGCAGTGTTTTACTGTTGTCAGAAAAGCCGACAGCCTGGTTTTGAGGCTCAGTTCCTTTGCTCTTCTAAGCCCAATTTTTCATTGGCATAGTAACACAGCCTTCCGCAGCCACTGCACAGATGTACATGTGCTCCCTCAGTTCGATCTCAATACAACTCAGCTCGGTGCAACATGAATTTTTGTTCACCACGCTGATAAAATTGTCTCGGAGTGTACCTTTGGTTTGCGACTCAGAGAAATCTAAAACATATTTCATTGGATTACAAGTGACAGACAAATGCCATCAACGGACAGTTTTGTTGTTAAACAAACACAGGATTTTTTGCTGCGTTGAAATGGTGGCCATGCTCAGTTTTGTTACTTCCATTTTGGAAATTCTCCAAACAAATTGCTCCTAAGTTTCTATTGATTTTGACAAATATGTATGGTGACTTCTCTTTTCTCATGCTTAGTGGGGTTTCAAAAGATAAAAGCAGTCTTTACATGGCTGGAGATTTCTGAATCTAATGTTTAGTATGTGATTTCTGTGAATATTTCTATTACCATGAGAGATTTCTACAGATTAATCTCGTTATTTGGGCCTCGTGGCCCAGTTTTTAGTGGGAAGGGGCACAAAAGGTGTTTTGTTTGTGTCTTCCCGTCTCACCTAGGGGGGACAATATCCGTCTACGCTGGCCTTTATAGACAAAGAATTGACGACCTGTAAAAAGGGGTTTACAAATGCACCAACAAAATTGGTTCCTATTTAACAGATCTTTTCTCTCGATACCAATGTAATTTGCTTTTTTCTAAACAGTAACTGAGTCAGATATATCTCTAATAAGTTAGACATTTATTTTCAAAACAACATTTGTCAAATATGAGAAAACAGCTGAAAAAGTGCACCCCCAAAAAGTCTAAACTTATATGAACTCTTGAAGTGCAACGGTACAATTGCATTTTTACAAACATCTTGGCAACTGGTCAACTGAACCAGAAAATCCAGACAAAAGCTGAACACAGGCAGCAATTTTATTTTGCAAAATAAACAGTGCAAACTCAGCCACTTGGGGAAAAACTAAAGACCATAAAAGTGAAAAAGGAAAAAAAATAAACACAATTTAGGCTTCGACTCGCATAAATTGTTCTGTGAATTTTCCTGTAAGTTCACAGTAACTTCAAAAAATTTTTCTCTGAAACATCTTCAGTATTTAAACTGTGGTGAAAACATTCTCAAGGAATGGGACAATTTACTACTTCAGTTTATGAACCTCTGAAATTAGAATTGGCACGGGCCATTCAAAAATTGTTCCATCTATGACTTGAGCCTGTCTATTAAAGCTGCCAATGATTTATAATCTGTAGTCTCCGGAATATTAAGTTGTCGAAAGAAATTTCAAGTGGAGGGAAAAAAAGAAAGAAATGAATGAGCCAGCTTTTCAATCCATGCACTGCAAGTCAGTTTTCAGCCTGTTATGAATGAACTTCACACAGACAAACCAAAAAAAAACATGATTTGGGCAAACTTTTGGGGTATGGAGATTAAAAATGAGAAAATGAAGCACTGTCACTAACCTTCGTCTTCGTTATCGGACATGAAGGAGATGACCATGGTCTCAGGGACCTGGACTTTCAGCTTCTCGTCAGTAGGCTGCGGATACAGGTCAATACAAATAGAGCATTCATTTAAAAGGAAACAAGAAAAAATTATTTGCTCTTGAGCACTAAAGATAAATACAAAGGGATTAAGAAGGCTCTGGTGAGTTATCAAGGAATTTGACGCACCTGGCCCACTGCAATTTAAAACTCCCCAAGACTCCGCTATTCCGAAAAGTTCACATTAAAGGTCAGCTGTGAACGTCACATCATACTGCATTTGAACTGTTGCTGGTTCCCACAAGCTCTTTTTCAAACTAAACCCCCTTGACATTTTGCTCGCTTTCACATCAGTCTAGACAGAGGTCTTCGGGGTTGGGACTGAGGAGAGCGTGGTATGTTGGTACGCATGCCGGAATGAATGTTGCTAGGCTGGACTTTGAAGTTTCAGTTTTTATCACTGCATTGTAACTTCAACATCAACTAACATCAACATGAGCAGCAGCACAGTAAATTTTTTCACAGTTTCAAAAACTTGGTGCCCTGGCTTGAGAGCCCTTCAAAGCATAAGGTGACCACATTCCACCTCCTGGTCAAACAACTACAAATTATACAAATGTGCGGGGATGCATTCAGGGTAGTTTCATGAAGTGGCAATTGGGAAATGAGTAAAAGCAGCACTGTAGATTTCACACAGTGATGCACCTTACCGATTGGACGATGGTCGTTTCCACCGTAGTGACCGTCGTCAAGGTGTTGACTACGGAGATGTAGCCAAAACGCTTGGCAATGGCCAGAGCAGTGTAACCATTCTGTGAAAGAAAGAAAATGCCTGTCAAACATGCTCGCTCAATATGAAATGGGGGATTTTCTATCGGATACGTGTAACGGTAACAAACACTGGCAAAATTAACAAGAGTGAGAAACAAGCAAGGTTCGCTGGATCTTGGCAGATTTGGGGGGCCAGTCAAGAGTAAACAGAAGCCCAAGTCATTTCTGCACTCTCTCTTTCTCTTTTCAGCGATGGCCGGTCTACTCACGTTGGCCGTCTCGTTCGGGTCAGCTCCCTTGGTGAGCAGGAGGTTGATGATGGCCACGTGACCCTGCTGTGAAGCCTGGTGGAGTGGGGTCAGGCCATGCTGTAACGATGCAATAAAACAAACAAAATAGTAAGCCGTTGTATTTGTCAAAAGAAGATATTCACAAACACATAATGTGCTCCAGGCAGAATTTGCTCTCAAAACATTGAGCTGTTTGCCGTGAACAATACAAGAGAAACAACTGACAGTAGACACCAACAAAAGTCAGTGCTGGAGGACAAAACTGAATTTGGGAGTGTAGATACAAGAATGCTTTTGGATTAAAGATTGAAGTTTCAATAAGTGCATTCTGAATTTGTTGACTTAAAAGGCCCAGTTTAAGATTCTGAGTGTCCATTGCCTTTATCACACAGTGTAGCCCTACACAAAATGGTCTTAATGACTGGCCGTCGACGTGGCACTTAAAAAGACGTCAAACTCAAGGCTGGCACAGGCAACTCACGATTCATTTCATACAAATGGGTAACATGCAAACTCGAGCTTAACAAGCTTCCATGTTTTACAAGTCAATCGGGCAAGTTGGATATGGCTTAGTGCAGCGAGTCTAGTTCCTTCACACAACATCACAACATCAATCTATTACCTTGGTCTTGGCTTGGATAGCCGCTCCGTTCTGCAGCAGGTAGGCGGCCGTCTTCAGGTTGCCGTAGTGGCAGGCCACATGGAGAGGCGTGTAGCCGGCCTTGGTGCGGGGGTCGATGCCGGAGCCATTCTTGACCAGGACCTTGGCGCAGTCCAGCTGGTCCTCTTGGGCTGCCAGGTGAAGGGGTGTTAGGCCATTCTGTGGTTGCAAATTGGATAAACCCACAAATGAAACACATAATAAAGTACCTGGATGGTTACGCATATCACCGTGGTACCTGGTGAAATAGTAGGTAACTCGATACCTTCAATCTCGAAGAAGCACATTCATGTACATGTGCATTAATGACCAGTTGGCAGTGAAGGCACAAGTAACCACTCTTGCCTGTGATCGCTACTTGTGAAATAACAAAAAAATAAAAAATTCTGCTTAAAAAAGTTATCCATAAAATGTAAAAAAGACACCAAGTAGACACAGGCTGTTCTACTCTGGGACAATATTAAGCTGCGTAGTCATGGAGCTCTGTAGGAGCCTAAGGCCATACATTGATATTCAGGGCCGTGGGTTGTGTATGTGTTCAAGCTGTCAGAAGTCAACAGGGTGAGGGGTGGGGGGTTCTGAAGTCTGACCTTGGCGGCGATGTCTGGCTTCGCGCCTCTCTCCAGCAGCAGGGACAGCATGTCGGTGTGGCCCTCCTGGGCCGCCAGGTGGATGGGGCTGATGCCCTGCTTGGTCATGCAGTTGGGATCGGCGCCGTACTCCAGCAAGGTGGTGGCCACGTCCAGCTGGTTCTTCTTGGCGGCGATGTGCAGCGGAGTGAAGCCATTCTAGAAAGACAGTAGACCATCGGGAAAACCATCAATCACCACTGAACCACATCTCTCAGGAATGCCAGCACGTGCCCACAGCTTTCAAGTGATCTCTAAGGACTTTCTGGATCGAGTGTTGACAGAAAAAGTTATCTACGATCCTTTCAAACAACTGTGAGTTGCAGTCAGCCACTTGCATGCATGGCAATTGACCAAACCTGCACAACATGACTTCCTGCAAGTACTCTCTTTTTCCTGACGTGTAACAGCACACTCTCTCAAAATTCTCCCACTCTGCCTGATGGGCTGGAGGGGCACCTACGAGTAGACAGGTGCAGGGATGAGAGATAAATGGGGTTAAGGAGACGACCTACCTGTGCCACGGTGTGAGGCGAAGCACCCTGGTCCAAAAGCAGCATAGCAACCTCCACATTGTCATAGTGAGCAGCGATGTGAAGTGGTGTCAGGCCATTCTGAGAGACGACAAATAAATAGGGTTGCAGAAGACCAAAACAATCATTTAAACATTGCACAAGCAAGGTAGCAAGCAAATCTCAGAAGAAAAAAAAAACCTGGGCACTCTTGTCTGGACGTCATTCAGTATTCTTTCGGCATTAACTAAACCAACACAAACACACTTTTTTTGCAGTTCTTAGGACATATTGTACAGTAGTTACTGAAGATGAATGATGTTGTGGAGAACCATGAAGTGCTCAGTCCAAATTTTCTCAACGACGAAAATCTTCCCCACGACGCCGGTCAGGGCTTCAGCGCGTTCTTTCCCTACCTGGGCTGTAGCATCAGGAGCAGCGTAGTGTTTCAACAGCAGCGATGCCACACCCAGTCGTCCATACTTGGCAGCCACGTGGAGAGGAGTGAATTCTTTCTGTAGTTGGATCAGATAAGAAACGAGTGTGGTTTTTAATTCCACCCAGGGGGCATAAACGGGTACCCTGTAAGGGCATAGCGGGTTATTTGTGGCTAGTTGACCTCGTAGCACCTGGAATGGTTGCACTATTGGTTTGATGCTCCCCAAGAGAGTTAAGATGTTTATAGGAATGTTTTGGGGCACATTAAGCAGGGATACTAAGGTCTAAAGCACAATGAGATCCGTCAGTGGTGGAATGTGCTATATAAATTGGTCATATCGTTATTCCGACCACTGTTTTCAAATTGTACAACTTGCCTGTATGTCATGTTGCCTTAATTTTTGGTTTGGTTCTTGTATTAAACGGTGACTACAACAATTGTGGGTTCAATCTTTAGTTTACTGACAAACAGGCATGGCATACAATGTCTGTGATTTATTGTATCAATCAGAATTTCGACATATCTGGAAAAAAACTCAAATTGAGAAAGCATATCAGTGAAAACTTGACAAAAAACACCTCAACCTAACAAAATGCGGCCCAAGAGAGCACTGCCACTTAGACTTCAAGACACTTCAGTGACTCTTGCACAATGTAAATCAACATTTTGTGCCAAACAAAATGTCCCTTTTCATCAGGAAGCCAAAGTGAGTGAGTGGTGTATCAAACCAGTGAGGTCGGCTTTTCTTTCCAATGCAAACTAAAAACGGAAGTACTGGAAACATGACCTCCACAAATGTGGACCAGATACAAAGATCTCCATCCGACCTCCACAAAGCGCATCATCCTCTAATGGTTTTCCAAAGTTCCCATTAGGGTCTATGAGCCTGGCTAACATTCTCAGAGACATGATTTTCCTTAATACCTTGGTCTGCATGGACAAGGAGGCCCCATGGTCCAGCAGCACGGCGGCCACGTCCTCCTTTCCCTCTCGGGCAGCGATGTGCAGTGCTGTGTAGTGGTCCCGGGTCTGGGCGTCAGGGGATGCGCCGTTCTCCAGCAGCAGCGTCACGATCTCCACATTGCCCAGCCGGGCAGCGATGTGGAGCGGGGTCTGGTTTTCGGCGGCCCGGGCGTCCACCTTGGCGCCGTTGCGCAGCAGGACGCGGATGATGTCGATCTGGTTGGCACGGGCTGCCAGGTGGAGGGCTGTCTCACCACGCTGACGTGCAGAAATGATACAACAAAAATAAATGAATAAATTTGAGAATGAGCGCTTAATGGAAGGATTCGTGACTTCCAAATCTAGTTATGTGGCTGACATTTAAAGGAGTAAATGGCCTGAATCTAAACAAAGGGAGACTGTGAAATTAAACAGGAGGTATTTCCAGGTTTACCTCAATTTCCAGGTTTGGGGAGAAAAACCACAAGTTAACACCTGCTTAATTTTGAATTCTCACCAAACATTACTTTTATCTCTCAACAGATCAGGAATATAACAAATCCATCGATATTTTTCAACAGCATACCAAGATTCATTTTTCAACCAACGGTACAAATTCAGCAGCAATCAAAATCTAATGCTGCCATCCGTTTACACTCTTGGTCTTTTAGAACGTTTGGAAATGAGAATTAAGATCCTTACCTTTGAAACTGATACGACTGCAGCAGCTACATATGTCTTATTTTTGAAAAAAACGAATGAAGAGATTTCACATGAAAACATACCACGTTGGTTTCATCCACACTGGCACCATGGTTGATCAGGTAGCCCACAATGTTGATGTTACCCATGAAGGATGCGACATGGAGCGGAGTCAGTCCAGACTAGAGAGCACGAGAATATTACCAGGTCAGAGGACAAAAATCAAACGCTACATACTTGGCAGCAAGTCTCAAAAGACTTTATCACTGGCTGGAATGACAGCCTACTACTGACCAGCTTTCTGGTCAGCTCCCGTCCAAGGAAAAGTACGCTGTGCGGATTGTACAAAAGTTGGTGCTGAGGAAAATGTGCAAGTGTGTACAATGGAACCTTCTTTGCCCTTTGATGAGAAATTCTGTGGTAAAATACTCAAATTGTGCTCACTTAGGGGGCCTTACTCTTAAGCCTCCCTAACACATTTTTATAAATCAGCGTTTGCACTGCAGCCCCCAAAATGTGTGCCTTTTTACTTTGCTGGCACTCATGCTGAAGTCAAGAGAACTCAACCTGTGGAACACGGACCGTTTTCGGTAATTTTCGGTGATCATTCTTGTCAACGAGTACTTGAAAACAACAGAGTGACAGGAGGGCTTATCTCTTTTCCTAATCGCAATATCAAAGCGATCATTTGTCTGAGGTAACCAGCAAGTGGATCTCACCTCGGTGGTGGCATGGATGGATGCTCCATACTTCAGTAGAAGCTCTATCACTTTGACGCGGTTCTTCTTGCAGGCAATGTGAAGGGGAGTGAATCCGTTCTGAAGGAGACAAACGTCGGGTAAAAGTAGTTCACTGCAGATGCTGACAGCATTAATTCCAATCCAGATTCTTCTCTTTTCACAAAAAGTTACGTGCTACTTGCCAATTTCTACAACAAGGCACTGAAGGCAGCTAAAACTGAAGGCGGCTGTTGCCAATGGCTGGCAGAAATCCATTCTTCTATTGGAAGTGATTTGGCTGCCTTACTACCAGCCCAAATGAAGCATTTAGGACAAAGCCATGAATTAGTCCAATTTACGGAAGCTGATTCAGACATGTGGAAGAGCTAGGAGTTAACCGACAAACTGCTCAATTCTAAAAGTATAGCAGAAAGTGTGACTTAAAAACAGCAGTTCTGAACCTCTCAACCAAAATCGTTCACCTTAACTTCAAAGGTCCAACATTTCAACATCTAAGAAATAATTACCAGAGCTCTGGCGCTGGGGTTAGCCTTCCTGTCAAGCAGCAGTTTGGCCACACGGTGGTGACCACAGTGAGCGGCCACATGCAGTGGGGTCAGGTAGTCCACGGTCACGTCATCCACGGGAGCCTTGTGGTACAGCAGAAGACGGGCACTGTCCACGTGATCACCTTGGGCTGCCATGTGCAGGGGTGCTAGACCATTCTAAAAAATAGATCAATCCGATTCATTATATTTCTTTTTCTTCCAAACCCTGAACCATGGTTCCAAATCCACATTTTTTGAAAGCTGATCGACAAGTCGACAACTCATACCTTTGTCTTGGCAGAGATGGGAGCTCCTCTCTCCAGGAGTTGATCCACACATTGGTCATGTCCGCTACGGGCTGAACAGTGGAGCGGTGTCAGCCCATCCTGAAGTGAAATCCACGGAATTGGTTGATTTCTCAATTTTTCACCAAAATGGATCAATTACACCTGTGTTGGGTCTGAAGAGACTAGGATAATAGTATTTTTGTTTGGAGCATCCAATTTTCAAGGTCAATCCACACTTTGCGCGAAGCCAAACGTAAATGCAAATCTGAGAAGTCAAGGCAAACATATGGGCAGCAAATTCCCAGTAGCGAAAAACATCACCATAAATGTTGCCCGATGTACGTCAAACTTGTCATCTTTGTTTTTGTACCAGAGAGATGGAAAGAAATTGAGAACATTTTTCCACTTTTTGGAGTGTTTTTCTGAGCAAGGGGATTGTTTACAGTCTGACCCAGGAACTACATTTTTGCAAACAAAATGCTTGTGAAAAGTTTGGGTCTGCTGTGTATCACAAACGGTGTGTCATTTCTGACGGAATTTTTTGGACAAGGACAACTATTTTTTCAACTGATTATTTCAAATGCCAGATTCAGACCACTTTCCAAGCCCTTCGGTGATGACAAACTCACTCTAGTCTTGGCGTCAATCCTGGCTCCTCGGTCCAGCAGCGTGTTGACCATGTTGACTCGGCCCCACTTGGCAGCCACGTGCAGGGGGGTGATGTTATTCCTGGCGGCGTGGTCCACCGATGCCCCGCGCTGGAGGAGCAGAGTGGCCACGTTGACATGGCCATAGTGGGCCGCGATGTGCAGGGGCGTGAAGCCACTCTGTCAAAAAAGCCCATAATAGGTTTAGACTTTGAGCTGTCAGGCGATACATCTGACAATTGTCATTTGGGGCTACGGCTATGTCAGTTGTTGGTATGTGCGCACTCATTTACAACTGGCCAAGCCACAAAGTTAATTCTAGACACAAGATTAAGACACAGCCATAAATCAACCATAACTCTATAGGTACTGCCATAAGAAACCGTCCAGAATCGCTCAAATCTTCCACTCTCCTGAAAACCAATGGCACAGTCTGTGCTCCAATGGAAAGCAATAGTGACTGGATTCTTCTCGTAATACTTACAATTTCATGTCTATGATTTCCAATTCAGCATTTGAAGTGGTTTACAGACATGTATAGGGCTTTGATGCTTCAAAAACTGCACTCTTTTTTGGAGGGGGGCCATTTTGTTTTGTCCTTACTGGTAGGTTTTTATTTTGCTTTGTTTACATATTCATTCATTCAAATATGTAAATGAAAAACTTCACCAAACTCCAAGACACAATGGCCCGTCATCCCTGTCATGTTCTCCTGTTGGGCACTATGTGTACAGTTTATGGCAAGGCTGGATCAGTTTTCTAAATGGCAAGGGCGCCAACAAACCTTGCTTCAATTGATCGAATGGAGTGATCAAGCTCTTTCAAGGGCTCTCCTCCTTCTAAACTTGCTGAGAAGAATGAGGCTCAGCAGATCACAAACAACACTTGTCAATCAAGGTCCAAATAATCTAATTGGCAAGTGAATGGCAGAACTACTGGTATGTACTGTCCCCTACCAAAGACGAACCTACTGACAATCTTTTCAAGTATCAGAATGCTGGAAAAGAATAGAGATACACGTACTGTCCACGGAGAATCATATGCTCACGGAGTGGAGCAATTGAATAACTGGAAATGATGCGGACGACTCAATCTCTATTCCTTCATATGATATACGTGGACAGAGAGAGGTGGAGACATGCAGTAAGACCCCCTCGGCAAGTGAAGCCAACTATGTACTTCATAGGACAAACAGAGGGCGCTGTTCAAAGCATTGGGACCCTCTCCATTAACCAGCTCTTTTCAGAGCCAACACTTCCTCACAAGAGATATTTCTACGGTGTTCCCTACAAGCCTAATTCCCTTGTTTACAACTCCACCAGCAAAGCTCCAAACAACTTAACATGTACCACTCCTGCCATTTGAAGTTTTGCACAGTGAAGGGGGCAAGTCAAGTAATGAGTTTGCGGTAGCACCAGGCAAAGTGTTTCTATTGTGAATATGTGCGATTCTGAAAAGTACCAGAGGGTACGCCACGTTTCAGACGGTATGCTCTGTCCATCATCAGGAGACTGCCTTCAGAACCACACATGCTCACAAAAGCAATATATTTCGCATGGTGCTATCGCAAACCCAGTTCTTCTACCACCACTCCTATTCACATTTTGACAAGATTGTGTGGTTGAACAATATTCCTCAAGTGCCCAAATGATTCAGTTCAGCTTTGTGGCGCCAAGGCCCAATCTCGGACACAAGCTGGCCCCTACCTTTGATGTGATGTCTGGGTTGTGGCCGCTCTGCAGCAGGAGCAGGGCGGCCTTTGTGTCGTCGCGTCGTGAGCAGATGTGCAGGGCGGGCAGTCGGGTCTTCCCCGCACGGTCATTCTCCAGCAAGACGGCGACGACTTTGTCATGTCCTTGTTGCAAGGCCACAGCGAGGGGTGTGTAGCCATCCTGATAGAAAAACACCCATGCCATAAAAAAATAAAAATTAGAACTTAAAAATTAGATCATAACCATCCTGTTTGGTCATAAAGGCATTATAACTAGGATTTCTACATTTGATATGATACATGTGCATTACATGTAAAGCTGGGCCAAAAGGTTTACATACACTTGGTAGAAAAAAACAGTTTTCCTCAATTTTTTGCAATTCTAATAGTTTTGCCAATTCTTTTTAGGAGGTCAGACCAATAGTACCTCAACTTAATGTTCATGGTGTGTACTTCAATTGAAAATACTCAGAGACATTTATTATGGTTCAAAATATTAATATTTCTGGAAAAATTATTTTGTGAACATTTACATCTACCCCCTTATTATCTTTTAAAACACTTCAGAAAGTGGTCCACTGTGACTATGAGATGTGACAAAAATACAGAAAAAGACACTAAATATTCAGGTTGGAGTACGTAAAATATTGACTTTTTGTACACAAGAATACAGTACATGTATGAATCATGTCTCTGGGTGTTTTTATTTGAGGCATAAACCATGTACATTAAGTACAGACCCATTTTGTCTGTCCTCATGAAAAGAAAAGTTGGTAGGAATGAGTGAAGTTGTGAAATTTGAGGAAAACTAGTTTTGTTCCACCAGGCGTATGTAAACTTTTTGCCCCAACTGCATGTCCAAACAGGAAATAAACAAAATAATACCACACATGAAAGACTCATAAAATTTCGATGGCCTAAAAAACACAAATTCACAGCATATAAAGACAATGGAAGCATGACAACATTGAATTAAACATATTTTTAAGGGGTTTTAGATTTCACACATCAGAACTGAGAATCAATTTCATATGAAACTTAATCACTAGTAATCAGTTCACTCATTCTACACTTTATATTATAAGAAATAAAACACAAATGTTGAACACAGCACAAAAAAATAAACCATGCAGTCACACATGTGGTGAGGACAGTACTGGCATATTCAAATTAGTAGAAACCAACAGGGAAAATTGATTTTTTTTTTCAAAGAAGAAAATTACGTAGAAAGTAGTAAGATCCCAATGACCTTTCACAATTTAAAGATCAACTCAAAAGCTGATTCTCAAAAATTACAATCCTATCTTCAAGTATCATTTTGTTGTTTTTTTTTCACCAATATATGTGAAAGCAATTCCAGTATATGCAGCAGTGAACTGTTTTTCATTTATTGCTTAAACTGACGTCTCTTCCACTGAACATTTTCATTGTTCAAATGGACATGAGAAAATGCCAAAAAATAAATTCCCGGTTTCGACATCCAAAATCAACCTGACAAATCCTATAGCCCAATCAGAAATATGCAACGCTGTTAACTGAAAATTTGAACCAGTAACTGGGCCAGTAGCTGAGCTTAGGCTGGCAGAATCCTTTCAAGAGGACCGTCTGAGAATGATGCACTCACTGCACACACCACCTTGCGCAATTTACGTGCACATGTACAGTAATACACCGTATCGCGTAACGTCCTGTCCAGCAGAAGAGGATGGAGGATGTTGCAATTATTTGGGCTCACCTCAGAAAATTACTGCTTCGTAAAAGTTGTCTAATTGCAAAGGTTTTGAAAGTTTCTTTGCATAAAGGACTAGACTTTCATTAACCCTTATGATTACAAATGTGAAGCTTGAACTCAATCAGACAAACAGTTTTGTTGCTAAGATCATTTGAAGTTCAAGGCTACATGCCCAACAGCCTGCGTATAATGAGCAACACAGTGGAAGAATATAAATGGACTTTTTTGGCTGACCTGTCTCAAAAAACATTCACGCTACCTGTACATGTACGTGAGAACAGTACATTTGATTTTCACAAAATTGATGTCAAAATGACTGCAAAGAGTTACTTTAAAACTCCTAAAAGCTCCGCTCCTGAACAAAATACAATGTGGTGATATCTGAAAAGATGTCTAGTTCCCCTCTTTAGGGTTAAAATCCATGAATATTCTCTAATTAGTATCATGTTTCCTAGTTTCAAAGGAGACTGATGGTTAGAGGAGGGGTTTGTAACTTTTAGCCAAGGGTTCAAATCCACCTGGGGCTAGGAACATGCACATGTATGCATGATGTGTCCTTGGGCAAGCCATTTTACCCTATTTGCCTCTCTATGCCCTAGAGTATACGTGTACATGTAAATGGATACTGGCATCAGCTGATGAGGAAACTGCAACAGACTTCAGTGTGCCATCGAAAAGGAAGAGAAGCATTTTAAGTTGTTTCTTGCTGAGGAAGTTGATAATAAGATCTGGTCTGATGAGCCATTCAGCTCGAGGCAAGGACTTGTCACTCCCTAATACATATTTGCATTTTTAAAAAATCAATTTCTTCCTCATATTTAAAAATCAAGGTCTTTGGAAGCTACGTGGTCCCACTATAACAAGCAAGAACATATGATAACTTTTCAAGGTCGTCTAATGATTGACAAGGAAAGGAGATATGCTCGAGGCGAGATGACTGCCACAAATAAACTAAAAAAAACCCAAACCTTGACCACGAAAAACAAAACAAAACCAAAATTCTGAACAGAAACACTCAAGGTCAAATAAAAGCAAACTCCCTTTCCATTCGAAAGTACTTTCTGTTGTGTAGTACATGTCGTGTAACGGAAACAGAGATATAGAAATTTGACATTCACCTCATGGGGTCGTTACCTGCTTGTGGAAACGCTTTTGCAACTAACACTTCAGGCACCTCAAGCATTTTTTGTCGGTGATAACAGTGTACCAAAAGTTCACACTTTCTTCGGTTATGAAATCACATTCGTTTTGCAACAGTCGGGAAGAACAGATTTTGTTTTCGGGATTGATTTACTTCTAAAAGAAAGGATTCAGCAAAAAATTTGTAAGGAAATCAAGTAATCTGGTTAATTTTTTCCAACCCTCATTTAATAAAATGAATGTGATATTCTTTCCTCAAAGTTGGGTGAAAATTTGGCACATCTTTCTCATACAGCGAAACATTCAGTGAAAAAAAAAGTAATGCACATGTACTCACTTGCAGATGAACCTTCCAAACTAAACACTTTTCAACAACACATGTATTTCTCTCGAATAACTAATTTTTTCCTTGTTTTCTCATACAGGTATGAAGATTCATGTGCGTCTTCAAATCTTCCTTGTACTGAAATGCTAACGGCAAATTACTTGACACAAATTCACTTAGAAGTTTGAAAAGACAGACGATACAAGACGTACACAAAACGGTGGAAAAAACCAGACCATCACTGAACTACATGTACGGTGCAGTGTTGATGTGTCAAAGGACACTGCAGAAGAAATAATCAATTAACCTTTTCTTCGAAAAAATTTAAATAATTGTCTAATGGCAAATTAGGTAATTTTATGGAGGTTGTATGAACAGTAATTAAAGCCCAGAAAAACTTACACACAGCTTTTTGATGTAAATCTGACAGCCCGCATTAGGTTTCAACCTTAATGACTCATAACACAACTTCATGGCTCACAACTTCATGATTCACCCTCGGCCTCAGGCTTCACAACACGAAAATGGGACCCTAAAAATTTGACAAACACAACTAACGGAACAAACAAGGTGGGGGAAAACTACCCCTAGTTTGACTTCAATTTCAAAATAGCCGGGGTAATGATACTGCACACGTTCTTTCAGCCCAAAATGACTTTTTAAAAGGCATTTAAGAACTGTGTCAAATTAAAATATGCAAGAGCTTTGTTGTATGACACGATGCATACTGCTATATGTACGTACACGTACACATGTTGAAGTGGATTTAATACAAGCACGTGCTAAACTGTGAGATTTTTGTTTCAAGGTGCAAGATCGGCCATCTAATATGCTAAATCTACAGGGAAGTTGTGAACCTGCTCAGACAAAATGCAGCACCAAAAAAAAGAGAGAAAATTTGTGGTATCACGTTCTAAAATATGCCAGTACTGTACAAACCATAAAAAGTGTGCGCCCCAAGTCAGTAAACAGAGCAAAGGCCAAAATGAAAGAAGAAAAATTAAAAAAAAAAACTAAAAGCTAAAGTGCACTGTGACGGGAAGACTGCGTGAGTGCCAGAGAGCACAGCATTCTGTCATTCATACTGTTAATTGTGAGTCTAGTGTTAAGAACAAACCACTTCAAACAACATGATAGTGCCAAGTATGAACTCTGTCTAATCTACATGTACAATGTAATAAGGCCACATCTCCCCTCATGCAGTTAAAAACTATCACTGAGTCCAGGAAGTCAACTACTGGCGTGCAGGTAAGAAACATTGCCAAACATGCCACAAATGCTAATGTTAGAGAAGAAAACTCTTGAGATGGCTGGGTATGTGACCGGAAGCCCCCTCCCTTCCAAGGGCAAATCTAGGACTGGAACTCAAAAATGAAGTGCAATTTGTACAAGTACCTTCACACAGTATTCCCCAATCTTCACTTTGCAGTATATATTCCACACAGCAATAGTGAAAATTCTCCTGATTTTTTGTTCAATTATTCCCCAGGGATATTGCGCATCTACTGTACATGTACTTTAAGATCCCCTATTAATCTGACAGAGAACCCATCAAAACAACCAAACAGTTACCAAATTACATCCCCCTACCCTCTCTCCCCCCCCCGTCATCAAACATCTACATCTATACCCCACCTTATCAGATTCTGCACTCCATGAGGTCCAAAGTTAATAGAATCTTCACCCCCAGCACCCTAAAATCCAACCACATCCTGCCTCGTCTGTAATCCCTTCCCCAGGCGAAGATTCTGCGTGCACAACAAACTGCAAGGTCGCCAGCAACCTACCGGTAAGTCTGTTCACGCACCCCAAATTGAGATCTATATTCGTCCATGAGCAAGCCCATCCCCAGCCTCCTAGTCCTAACCCTAAAAATCTCTCTACGTGATGCAGGAAGAAACGACTGTCGTGGGATCACATGAAAGAGCCCATGATGAGCCGAACAAACATGGTGACCAGACAATGACCTGCAGTGCTACATGAACATGTACGCAACACACAGTTGGGTGGACTAAACTTGCATCTCGACAATACTGGGTAAAGGAGGGTATGTCTTTCATTGTTTATCATTAGTACAACAAGGAAGAACATACACATGATACATTGGTGAACATTTATCCAGACAGAAAGAGGTATAGAGAGAGAGAGTACACTACAGCTGTGGTGGTGATGATGGTGTGTTTATTTCAACGACAATCTTTCACAACCACTCGTACCAAGGCAAAGAAAATACAAGTTTTGGCTCACGTTCTCACCTCCTGCTTGGGAGGGTACTTGGGCCGTGATTGGTGTTGCAAAAGCGTTTCCACGATTTTATAATGGCCCTGCTGGGTAGCCACCTCGAGCGGCAAAAATCCGCCCTGGGAAAGGTAAGTCGGAGCGAGGGTAGTAGGGGAGGAGGTTTTTTCACACCATTAATGGGGAGAGTGAGGTTGAGGGAGGAGTCGATGGGGACGTAAAATTCAGTTGGCAAAAAGCCCAAGGCAAATTCCAAGCATGCGTGCGTGAGAGAAATGAAAACGTTAAAAAGTGAAAGAGGGAACGGAGGGGTACAAATCGCTGTACGGCAAACAAACTTTACAGTGAACTGTTTTGTGCAATGCCATGACGATGTGTAATCCCCATCTTGAGACTGCCATCAAGTCAACGCTGATAATTCCTTACATTCCTGTGTCCAGTTTAATTGAACCTTTTGCTAAAGTGTTTGAACAGGAATGTCCTCATTTCACCTGACTTTTCTCTAATATCATCCACTGCACAAAAGTTTTTTGGATCATAGAGACTGTATGATTGACCATCTTTCATTGTAGCAGTCTGCCTGTGATGATCTAATAATTTTAATAAAATTGATAAAAAAAATTGAACCACTTCGTTGCTCTTGCTCTATGGCCATGAGTGACAAAAAAACAAGACATGTCAAGAGTAAATGCAGATTTCCCTGGTTTAGTAGCTGGGTCAAGCTCTATCGTATCTGTGGTAATACTCAGTCACATGACTGGTTATGGAAATGTTAGACTTCCCTCAAGTTGACCTGCAACATTGTGATACTTTTGACTGATAATATGGATATATTATCAGTCAAAAGTATCATGAAGTTTGGGATTAAACTAAAACTGGATTGCAATAGTGTGGCTTGAAAAAGACCAGAAGCTATCACCTGACTATGGATTGAGGAGCTTTAAATACTGTCCATCAACATTATTTTGGCAGTGGAAAAAAATCTTATCAGGTTAGTGCAAGGTCTTATCTTATCGGGTCAGTCTCAGAGGTTCATTCCAGTTAGCCCTGTTCGGGTCTTGCAAGCAGTATGAAATAATGTTCCACAGATAATCCATCTGGATTCCATTGAGAATTTTGTCCAACCACATGTATCAAGAGGCTTTCACTCTAAAAACAAAATCATTGTTTTTTCCCCCTTCCCTTGTTTCCTCTTCATGAAGTGTGACTTGCAGTTACTTCTTTCAATTTGGATGACGGCAAATATTAGCATATCTGTAGAGAAACGTCACAGTGGCTGGAAAAAGGCTAGCCAATCATTGAAAGTCTTACCTCCGTAGCCAGGTTCTGGTTGGCATTGTGGGCTAGAAGGTACTTGACCACTTCGCCGTGGTTTTCCTGGGCCGCCATGTACAATGGTGTGAAGCCGCTCTGTAAGGCAAAGGTTCAAAGGAAAAATCATGAATTAACAACCTTTTTAGAAGTAGGGCACGTCGCAAGACTCAAGACGATGCAGACTGATCATACTCTTGACTACCGTACGTGGTGGATATGCAACAGATCATTTGGTTGATTTCAACCAACTACAGTATATGATGTAATGATTTGCAACCAACTGCTTTGTTGATTGGCAACCAGCAGCTCAGCTCCTTTGCAACCAACCACTCAGTTGATTTGCAACAACTGCCACAATGATTTGCAACTGACAGCTTATAATTGATTTGAAAGAAACTGCTGATAGTTGATGTGCAACACACTGCTCAGATGATTTGCAACCAACTGCCAAGTTGATTTGCAACCAACTGCTTTGTTGTTTGCTATCTTCAACTTTGCCGTGTCCGCAACAAATAGTTTTGACTAGTCCCGACATGTTTTTCAATGAAGTTTATCGAGACAGAGATTTGTTTTGCGAGTAAACTCCTGCTGATGCCATGAGTATTTTGATGAGAAAAAAATACAGTGTGAAGAGGGATGGATAATCTGAGATGTGACAATTTTCTGGGAGCGAACACTGTGGCAAGTTATACATGTATCCATGTAGGTAACATGCAACTAAACTGGCGATCCCATGAAACTATAGGATCTGACATGGCATGTAAGCATTGTGTTGTTTGACATCTATGGAAATGTACAAATGTGGATGTACGTAAAAAATACAAACACATAAAAGATTGTTATTCCATTAGGCTTCCTGCCAACCACTTCCACTTCCAATATTAGTTTCATTAGAATTGACCCACATACCAACATAGCAAAAACCGACATCATACATGTGCGTATTTCTTCCCCGTAACACTTTTTCCCATTTTTCCCATGACCAGCTCCCACTGTCACTTCTGGCCAAATTGTCGTCAACTAAGCGCTGTAACAGCCTGCCTACAGGTATGTCTGCATAAATATGAGGCCGGAAATTTGCAAAATGTGGGTGTAACTATAAATGAGATCTGCGAAAAGAGGGTGTAACTATGATTGTGATGCGTATGGGGTGAGTTCATGAAACGGTGGCAAAAAGTTGCTGAAAACTAAAAAGGTTGATATCAATAAGTAAAAAAGGAATACTGTAGTGAGAGGTAACTTCACTAAGAGAAACTCCTGCATTCTACCGTAGGAAATCTACCTTAAAAAAGCTGTATTACGGTAATACGCAGCAAAATCAAAAATGTGATTAGTGCTCGTCTTCACTTTTTTTTTCTTTTATAAATACTTAAAACTTTAATAGAGAAACAATAAAGGCACGCTCTAATGATGTCTTCAGACAGGCGGCGTGATCGGCTGCTTTGTGAGCATGATCAGAATGGAAATGAAACATGGCTTCCCATTGGCTCATTGCTAGTTGGTGAACATCTCCCAATAACTCACCTGTACACCGTGGCGTCTTGGCTGGTCTTTACGAATCTAAGAGTGGCAAAATATGGTTCGGATATGTACACCGCATTTTCTTTTTCCAGGGCTTAATTTTTTATATAAAATATGCAAATGACCGCTGGAAGTCTACGAGAGTAGGATTCTGCATTTGAATTTTTATGCATTTCTCTTTAAGCCATTAACTTTCAGTCAAATCCTGTTTGTGAAGATGACAGAATGGGCCACTGCAAGGTTTTCTTAGGTTTACTTTTCATCTTAAAATGTTATCTGTGGAAATCCAGGTATTAATTCATTTAAACATTTCATAAAGCAGCCATTCACCAGTACAGCATTTTTGGGTGCATAATGTCGTGTTGGCTGTGCACGTCCATGCACGTTTCGATTTGAGTAGCAGCTCCATGGGAAGAATGGGGAGTGGGGTGAGGGAGAAACCCAACGGGCTATGCACTTGCGCACTAGTTGAGACACACATGGAGCACACGGAAAGCACAAGTCAATTCATCTGAATGCGCAAATCATGTGCATGGTTACAGCGGCATCAAAACATGTCGGCCCGGCCTTTCTCTTTTTCGCCAGTGAGGGGGCACTCACGCAAACTGTTGTAAATGGCATACATGATGAACCTACATGTACATGTACAGCAGCAAAGTAAATGAGCTAAACCAACCTGTGACTGTACGTTGACATTGGCGCCGTGCTCCACCAAGGCTTCCACAATGGGCTGCTGGCCAGCCAATGACGCAATGTGAAGGGCAGTGTTTCCTTTCTGAAGGGACACAGGGAAAAAACGGGGGAGGAAAAAGATTGAAAAATTACTTTCATCCCACGATACAATTGCTGCATATTCTTCACCTGCCATCTTTCATCACCTGAACACAAAGTGCTTGATTGATCATGCTGCCAGCAAAGGATTGTGAAATGCCAACTTCTACTCTTTCATGGTGAGTTTCTCAGGACCTTAATACATGTATACTGTAGCCCTTTTTTATATGGAACCAACACTTCAATGGCCCATAGAGAGGACATGACCCTTACGGATGACGACAGTGGTTCTCTCATGCCCATTAAGGACAAGTGTACATCAATCTCAACGAGCACTGAACTCAACCAGCAATGTGCTGTGTTGGTTTTTTTTCCTCCATGTACAAGTCCTGCCAGTTCAAGGTCACTTACTTCACTTGCTTCTTCAGTTGACAACGGTAATTCATTCACGGCATTGCAAAGGAATGCTCGTACGGCGCAAATTGGACACGTTCCAAAGATGTGACTGACAGTTGGCAGGCAGCTTTTGGCGAGTCTGCATTCACGTACACGCACATGCAATGTCTTGGATGCAATGTGAGCAATTCTAAGCGGCTCAAAGCGACATTCTAAACCACAGTAATTGGGATAGTTCTCAGATATCTGTTGATGCAATTTAAACTGAAACAGACTGCGTTTTCACTTTCAACCAAAATTACGTCAATCGCTGGCAAGGAATCTTGATGACATTAAGATGCAGGTGAGGATGAATCCTTCTCACATACTGATCAAATTCAATGCAATGCCAGCTTGCAGCAAACAGCATTCTGTATAAACCTATGCGTAATTCCAATCAACTTCCAAAAAATCTGATTCTAATCTTTTTCGTATCAATTACAAAGGTTATGTGCAGTCATAGCAGCTAACACTTTATCTCCTTCAGAACACGCATTTCAAAAGGAACAAGAGCTTCCGGTACTTGTAAATTTATAAAACTCAAATTTTAAATACCTGCTGGGCCCAAGGCTTTATGCAAGACGGGTCTAATTTTGGTATATCTTTTCAAAACTCTCAAATGCTTATGCCCAAGCAACTGGAGGGAAAATGGTGCGATCCATTTCTCACATCCAATGCTGGCTAAAATTCCTAGCTCGGCAGACAAGGCGGCCAAGAAAAGTTCAACACTTTTGTACCTTAGTGGCAGCATCCACATTGGCGCCTCTCTTCAACAGCTCCTTGACGATGTTCAGATGGCCCTCTTTGGAGCTGAGGTGAAGGGCGTTCAATCCGTTCTGCAGGCAGACAGCAAACAAAATTTGTGATTAAGAAGCATTTCTTAACATGCATACAATGTGCCAGATCTTTCGTGTCAACAAATACTGGCACTTCTTCAAACGTACAGCACTAGTACACCTGACTTTACCACAATATACCTATCCAAATTCATAAATGCAGTGCAAATCCTTCCACACTTACCCACATCTTGACACTTCCATTTTGCAAGTCCATATATGTAGATGCACGTATAAGTACATACTTCTTGGCACTTAATGTTTCATATCCACATACACAAAAAAGTTTGCTTATCAACTTTGCTGGCATCCTGAGCTTAGTACACAGTCTCTTACAAGGCCTTGCACAATTTCAAGAAAATGGACCACAATAAAGAGCATGGTTTCTGCCCTTAAAGCACATGTCGGGGTCTATGTATTTAACATTAACCCCACTCAGGTGAGCGTAAAAATTGTATCGAAATTGGAGGATTGAGGACTGTTAGGGGGTAAAGGATCTGTACACATAAATGTGTGATATTGGAAGTCTCCAACATGAATATTCCACTGCGTTATTAAGAACACTGCACATTTGCGGGAATTAACAGGTATCAAATATA